TGTCTGTCTGTCTGTTTGTCCGGATCAAATTTTGAAACTCAAATTTCACTCACTTCCAGACTAGCTAGCAAGCTGAAACTTTCAGGATAGCCTAGAAACTGATGACAATGCAATCTTATGTGAAAAAATTAATTTTAAGAATATTTTTTAAAAAGAATAAAATAATTATAGTAGATTTCTATAATAAAACTTTGAGCAGGTTTTCCTTGGCCCCAAGAAAAAAACCCATGGTGAACTGAATTGGTTGCAGAGGTCCGAGTTCATAAAAACGTGGTAAAAACGTGGTAAAATGGAGATGGATAAAAAAATAGAAGAAAGCCAGTTGGGTAAAAACACTTGATCACCCTGCTGGGACAAAGCCAAAAAATCCTCATCAGATTCCTATAGTTTAAAGTGATTGTGATTTCTTTCAATAGGTCCCAAAGGTGATATGGGACCAAGATACTGTATTGAACATGAAATCCAAGACACACAACAATAACTCAATGAAATACAACTCCGCAAAACTCTTTTAGCAACAGCACACTTTTTGATATGGATTTCAAATCACGAATGCTTTGTTCTTTTTGGATGGGCAAAGGAAGGAACAGACAAGATTTCATTGTATTCCTCATTCCATTGTTTCAGAAAGTGGTTTATTACCTTAAAAATATGTTTTTTCTTAGAGATTGGTGGAATTGTGTGGTTTGAAAGATGTTGTAATAACGGCCGGTTTTATTTAGTATACTATAGTTTTTTGAGTTTTGAGAACTTGTTGTTCGTTTTTTATTAAATTTAGTCTGGTTTTTATAATTTTCCTTGATTATAACAATAAGGCTCTTGGCGTGTATGTGTGAATTCCCAAAAGCTGCTGAGACCATGTTTCAAGTGTCGGTTTCTTTTTTTGTCTGTGTGTGCTTATAAATGTTTTTAAAGAAACCAAAATTGTATCCAGAAAGTGTTTGAAACAAATTCATCATCTCAACACCAATAACAAAACCATGCATGTATAATCAGCAATAAACCTGCATGTATTCATTCATGTGTATATACGAGTACAAATATATAATAGGTGCTCATGATGGAAAGGATCAACAGGATCTTCACGAGCACAGAGTGGAAACTCTCTGCTGACTTGCCGGCCATTACGGGACTCGGGTTTGCGATAGATGAGATCGTCATCCACACAGAGCCCAGCTCTCCGACCCTGGGTGCGCATTACAATGCCGAGGACCGACCTGACAATGCCAGTCATCTCCTAGAGGTGTATCCCTCTTTCTTTTTTTTTTCCTCTTAAATATACATATATATATATATATATATATATGTAATTTATTTAATTGTGTGTGTGTGTATGACAAAAACAGCTGTTTAGTTTTGAGCCTGCTGTGCGCAACAAGTGCTTGGGACACCTGTTTACTGACACCACGTTCCCCACGGGGTCCCTGGGAATGGCCTATGTGGCCATGAACGGAGCAGCAGGCGGCATCTGTTCTAACAGTGAGTAACTATACACAGTACTGTATATATATATATACATCGCAGAGATTGAAGAATAACTTGATGGCGAAAACAGGTATTTTCCCGTCCTTCTCTAGTTCTCGTATAGTTCGTGACGGGGTGTATTGTGTATAATTGGCTCGTGTTCGTTTCAAACAGATCAAAATTGGTATCTTTCCTGTTTTATGAAACACAGTACAGTAAACTGAATATTCAGACATATACAGGTACGTGGTGTAGCATAGCATGGAGCAATAGCATCCTGACCTAAATATAATTATTTTAAAGGGATCCTATACTTACGTACATCACATGTACAGTGTTATTCATTATAGCAATAGAGAGTACAGTACACTGCATGATATCAGGATCACCAATGTAATGAGTGAAAGAAAACTTGAAACAGATTTGGTTTTTTTTTCAATTTATTTTCAAATTTTATTCACAGCGATGCCAGTAGGCGGGAGAATGCCCCAACAGGAAAATCATCATGACGATAAAAACGGCAGAAATAATAATAATAATAACAACAACAAGTTGCAGCAGCAGCAGCAGTCCCTGAATGTCGGCCTGACCAGCATCCGCAGTCGGCGTGGCAGCCTCATGACCAGTCTGGAGGCTGACCTCATCACAGCCCACGAGTTGGGTCACGCCTGGGGGTCCGAACACGACCCCGACACAGCCGAGTGCTCCCCAAGCGCGGGACCCGGCGGCAAGTACCTCATGCACGCCTATTCCGTGTCCGGAACCCTGCCCAACCACAAGGTGTCGCTCCCGTACTCATATATATACTGTATATATATATATACTGTATATATATGTATATATATATAGCCTATGATACAGCAGTACAGTACTTTGAACATCAATTGTCAAACATGCTGCTCTTCAAGTCAAACTTCATTAAGGGACGACCTGCTTTGGCTTTTAAAGTTTTAATTGAGAGAAACTATTGTTGCTGCTGCTGATGGGGAAAGAAAAAAAGAATGACAGGAATTTGTGATGATTGGTGATATTCTGGGCCTTACATTTCTCCTTAAAAATGAGATATGCTGAAATTTGAGACAAGGGTTCATTTTCCTCATCACCATGTGTTCATCATCTTTCTTTCTTTTTTTTTGTTTGTTACAAACTGAGATGGTGTGTATGTTGAACCTGTAATATACACACATTGTGCTTGATTCCAACAGGGAATTTTCAACCAATTTCAATTTAAAAAATGAATATGATTGGAAATTTAAATTCAATTTGATCACACTTGAAGTCAAAATTTAAATCTTGATTTATTTTATTTTCAAAATATTTTTTTTTACAAATTTTGATTCTCCTATGCTGGGATGCATGTCTTACTTGGGAATACATTTTCACTCAAATAGCTGTGGGCTGAAAATGCAGGTGAACGCCTGATACTTGATGGTGCGTGGCTTTCAAGTAAATATACACGGCAGTCTTCCACTTTATTTTAAAAAGCATCAAGTTCCATTATAAATTCCTTTTTTTTCTTTTTCGGTGCAATAAAAAAATTACAAAAGACCTTCAGTACATTCCAGTTTTGGATGTTTGAGGGGGGGGGGGGGGTATTTCCCAGTTGGGGATATTTTCAAGGAAAATTCAGACAGGGACATAATGAAACAAAGTTGACAGAGGGAGGCATTCAACTGTACTTGGAGTCACAAAAACAGGAAAATCATGTCTCATTATTTAATATTTCTTTCTTATCTCTCTCTCTCTTATTCTCTGTTGATTGCGGATGATTACAGAAATTCTCGCCATGCAGCATCCGGAGCGTGGCTGCAGTTCTCAGACACGTCTTACTTAATTCGCGGCGAGGAGACAGAAAGTGTTTCCAGCCGCCAGCACGAGAGGGCGCCTCTCTCTGCGGCAACCTCAGACTCGACCCCGGAGAGGAATGCGATCCCGGCCGTGTTCCAACGACTGCTGCTGGTGCTGCTGCTGCTGCTGTTGACAAATGCTGCTCCGTGACCTGCAAACTTTTGGCAGGGGCAGTTTGCAGGTTCAGCTCGAATATATTGTGTAAAAATAAAATCACCCCCCGCGGGTCTGGAATCAAGTTTCTTTTGCGTGCTGATGTGCTTTCAATTCTTTGAAATGTAATAATGTTGTGCCTTTCGGGTACAGTATATATATAAATATACATATATATATGCTGCTGATTTATACTCGATGGCCTTTGGCAGTTACAAGAACCACGGGTGCTGCACTGAGGACTGCAAGGTTGCCAACGGTGGAAAACTCTGCTCCAGGGCGTCGAGTTCCGAGTGCATCTCAGACGTCCATTGCGACGGTGAGCATTCACATTATTCACTAAATTTCATCCCGAGTATAAAATGCTGCAGACTCATGAGGTGCAAATGTTTCAATAAAATCATTTTAGCCTCAAATAGTCTTGTTTGCCCAGATTTTTTTTTTTGTGCAGAGCTGTCAGTCAAGATGGATGACTGCTAACAAAAATTATTTCTTATTTTTTTACTCTACTTGTCCTCAGTTTTGTAAGTGACATGCCCTCTGTTTACTTGCCCAATATTGCAGGTATCAGTCCTATTTGTGGATCCCCACTCCCACTAAAAGATGGCGCTGAGTGTTTCAACAAAGGCCAGTGTTTGAATGGCACTTGTGTGTCATTCTGCAAGGCCATTCATGGCTCCCAGGACTGTTTTTGCTCCGCAGGTGAATGAAAGACTGACATTTGTCCAATATGGATGCTAATACCCCCCATCAGTGTAAAGTAATGTTCTGAACATAATACTGTACTGTACAATAATAATACCGCAATAATTGGTTGAATAATTATCAAAGATTTGAATGCAGATTCATCAGCAGTGCTCTGTGTATAGAACAAATCTTCTTTCTCGAAGCTACGTTTTTTGAGGAATTGAATTATTAAAAAAAAGAATAGATAAACAAAAGCTTTCTTTTATAGTCCTATCCTTCCACTCAAAAATTTACAAAATGTGTATATAGAACCACTTTACATTAAACACAGGCATTTCATGATTTAAAAAAAAGCTGGCAGATTTTAACTACAATCGCAATCTGCATTCCAAATTGTACCAGCCAATGGAGTGATGATTTGTATGCGCACCAGTGCCATGCAAAGTGAAAATTAACTGCAGTGGGCACTTGGTGAAATGAGTATAAAGTTCTTGATTTGTGAGGCACCACTGCTGCAGTACAAATGTTGAATTAGTCAGAGTGAACTCTGAGCCAAGTGCATCATATCTCGCAGTTCATTCAGGGCTGTATAAAAGCATGCAAGATCCAAGTTTTCAAAAAGTTTATTAAATTTACGTCCCTGTTTTTTTTTTGCCTCACAGTGAAGGATGCTTGTAAGAGATGCTGTGAGACTGCGAGTCAGGGTTGCCAGCCAGTCATTCCCAATCAATTCCTGGACAATGGTCACCAATGCGCTTTCGGAGTTTGCCATCAGGTTTTTTTTTCAATGGATAGATGTCGCCTCCTTTTTTAAAACTTAAAATTACTCCTGCTGTATATATAAAAAGGGTAAATGCAAGTTGAGTGTGTGGGACATGGTCAAGAGGAAGTTCAGCATCAATGGAGACCCTGATGAGCAGGGCAAGGTGTTGAGCAGGGTTTTCAAGGACTGCTTGGTCTTTTGGGTTGTGTTCCTATCAGCTCTGGTGTGGGTTCCAATCAGCTGCTTAATCAGCAGACATGATGCAAGGGTGGAAAAGGAGTACCAGCAAGCCCTGTACAACTACTACTACAGCAGGACTACTCAAGCCAGCAGGTGGAGTGTACAGTCAACCCCCGTCTAACGGACTTGATTCGTGCAAGGGACAAGTCTGTTAGACAAAAAGTCCTTTACACAAATTCAATTACATAAAAAATTAAAAATTTCAATTTTCAACACTAATTTTAAACCAAAAGAAGTCTGTTTGGCGGATTTTGTCTGTTGGGCGGGAGGAAAAATTGCTTGCAGAGCTGGTCTGTTTGGCAAAAATCCCTGACACGGGAGGTCTGTTAGGCGGGGGGCCACTGTACTGCTGCTGTATATACAGTACATCATCCATTATCATGTGCAGTGTAGTGGTGGAGTTTTATCTTTTTTCATTGCTGCAGGAAAGAAGATTCGGTGGTGCTTCCAGAGCAGCAGCATGAAGGAGAAGAGGAGGAGGAAGAAGAAGAACATTATTCTCTGTAACTTATTTTTCTGCAAATCCGTGATGGAAAAATTAAGACAAAAGAGGCGGAGGATTTATCGCATATTTGTTGGGTCGGTCTTACGCAGTTATTCTGCTGGGGAAATGAAATGAAAAAAGCAAAACATCAAGATGGGCGACTTTTATCGCGTCATTTATTTTCTTTTGCGGGAATAAAGGAGATTTATTTCTCACTCGAATGACTTTCCAGAGTGCATGTCATTCATTCGTATAGTCATCATACTTGTGCTCGAGTATCATTTCGAGTCATGAAAAGTTTGCGGTTGCCGGCATGAATGAAAATTACATTTATTGCAGGTACACATGCACTACTGGCCTCGTCCTTATTTAGAAACGAAAAGAAAAATAAAAGTGTGCCGCGTGAATGTCCGTAAAAATTTGTCTGAGAACTCTTGCGAGCAGTTTGAACTCGAGTTATTTCTTTTTCACCGGTAGGTGTCGCGTGCGTATATATATAGACACGACGCTTCAAATTCAGCACAGGACTGAAACAACAACAAAAATTGGACTTACTTACATGCCTGCACAATGTGATAATGAGTCGACGATTGATTTTCCTCCGCAATATAAAATAAAATGGAGCTCTCATTTCTTTTGGAGAAAAAGTCACATTCATTCAACATCGGGAAAGAGATTAAATTGTCGTTGGACTAACTCTTCCACAAGTTGGGAACATTTTCGTAGGTCTTTTTCCAGAAATGCGAAGACTCGTCGTAGACCCACATTTCAGTTTTGGTTATTTCGTCCTTTTTCAAGACGAACCACCTGTTGAGATGACGGGAAAGAGAGAGAGAAAGATAAGAAGGAATTGAGAGTTTTCAAAAAATATAAATTAGCCTACGAATACATCAGATGATCCCTCAAATGACCTTTTTTAACAAGTGGGAAAATATGCCTCATTGTCACATCACCATCACAAACAACATGTCTCATTGTTTCAAGTTTGCATATACTCCTGGTTCAGACTTGGAATTAAATGCACTAGTTAGATAAAGATGTCGCACCTGGGCTTGTAGGCAGACTGCTGCTGTGATTTAGACCCTGATGTGGCAGCAGCAGCATCTTCCCTCTGCTTCCTCCTGGCCCTCTGAATGTCTTCGATCCTGTCCTTCTCCTCCTGGCCCTTGTCCTCCTTGCCCTGCTCCAGCAGCCGCATATCAGGCCGGAACCTAGAGTCAGTCGGACACAACTTGTTGTTGTCCTGCTGCTGTTGCTCGTCGGTGATGCGCAGTTCGTTCAGCATGAGTGTAAAGTAGCCGTAGTTGAAGTACTGCTAATTTCAAAGCAAAAAAAAAAAAAAAAAAAAGAAAATAGAGAACGACTCGTCAACTTTCGAATTTTATATATATATATATTGGTGGTTCATGCTCCTGTGTCTTATTATTATTTCCACAGCAGTTGCTCACGTCAGACGCTTTCGGAGGCCTGGCTCGCATCCGGAACAAGATGCGCTTTTCCGAGTCGCCGGAAGTGGCCAGAGTCTTGGCCCCTTTGCTGTTGTTCCTCCGAAACTGAGAATTACGACCACCCCAAAGAAAGAAAAAAAAATAATCATTATGATGAATGAGTTGATAAATAAATACACGCACACACTCATAGGTATTTATTATTTTCAACAACAACAACGAAAACTCACTGGGATCCGTCGGGACTTGGACATGGAAGGGTCTGAACCGCGGCTGCGAAACAAAAACAAAAAACAAAAAAGAAAAAGAACAACAGCCTCCAAATATAGGGTCATTGTTGGGTGGCTCGACTATTTTTTTTAAAGAAAGGCCAATCCAAAAAATCAAAATTCTTACGAGCATAAGGAAGTATTACAGCACTAAAAAAAGGACTTGTTGAATGTACAGTAATTGAATGTTATATAAATATACCGACATGCCTCACTTTCTTTTGAGTCTAAACCCCATGCAAGGATAATTTATTTCGTTTACTGTGAATTGTTTAAGCTTGCAATCGTAAAAGGCACTCGATTACGTGAATTGCTGTTGAACAAAACATTTTCTCATCCCAAAAGAAATATATGAAGAAGGCAAAAAAATATAAAACTTAATTTCGCATTCAAGTGCTTAATATAGAGCCATGAAATTATAGGCATCATGTGTTGAGGGAGATGATTTCAAGTCAAGTTGATTTTGATGGGAGAGACACAGGAAACTAATATGTGTGCAACTGTGTAGGAAATATCTTCAGTTACATTAGTTTTGGTTTTATTTGCGTTTACACATATACTGTATAATGGGTGCTGATGCAACTCACAACTTGGCGGGATCTGCCTTCACACTGACCAGGTGATCACACCAGAAACCCTTGAGCACTCTCACAGGCTCACCCCTTGAGCAAGGATCCATCCATCAATCATTCAATCAATGAAGGAAGCAATTAGAGCAAATGATGACTCACTGATCATAGAGGGCGCCTTCAAACCTCGAGCTCTCCAGACCAGGTTTGGTGCCTCCAAGAAACTCAACAGTAGCTACCAAGGCTGGAATATTACAACCATGAAGACAAACATCTTACATCAGGTAAAGTAAAAAAAAAAAACACACACACACACATTACTCAAACCTATTGTTTTTGAAAAATGACGAAATAAAAAGATTTAGTAGATTAAAAAATTAATCTAAAAAACCACATTTTCAAAAAGATGCAAAATTTGATCCGGACAAACAAACGGACAAGAAAGCGAGTTAATAAAAACGTGTTAAAAAATAATAACAATGATAATATGGAGCATTTTTCCTTTTGCATCTCAAATGCCAGCATGTTCATCATAATCATATGAGGTGCAGCATTCAATTAATGTACTGTATTGTAAATGGGAAAATGTACTTGCAGGAGTTGTGCTTGTGCAGTTTGTAAGTGCCTCCATACTCCAAGTAGGTTGTGCCCAGGAAAATGTTCTTGACCAGGACAGGGACGCTTTCCCAGTAATAATGCTCCTTGTGCCTAAATATATGTATATATATATAAATACATAAATATAAGTAAATGCGTGCGTTCTTATTGCATCAAAAAGGAGGATGACAAAGAGGGAATAGCTTGGCAAATAAAGTGCAGACTTGTTTAGGAAGACAACGTTGTGGCCCTTGGACTGGATCTCAATGGACCTGCCCCAGAACTTGATGCTGGGTTGCAAGTTGGCATAGAGGGTGAAGGACTGGCCCACGGCGTGGAAAGCAGACACAGGTGGGTGATGACAAACCTGTTCTGAAACCAGTCTGCATGTGTGTGCATTAACACCAGGCCACACATGGGTGACAATAAAGACAGAAGAAAAAAAAAAGAGACCCAGCATCAGCAAGCATCATATATACTGTACTGTACTTACACTGATGTATATATTTAAAGCACTTGAACCATCCAAGTCCAATTGGAAAAAGAATAATTCACAACAACAACAAACAGCAGCAACAAAAAAAGGTCGAATTTAAGGAACTTTTTTGTTTGCAATTTGGGAATTCGGATTCATCTTTGGTGAATAAATAATGTATATGCAAATTATTTTCTGGCCAAATTATTCCAAACACTGTAGGGATCATCATTTATAAATGTCATATTACCTGCAGGAAGATGTGCCTATTACAATGCCTTATTGCAAAAAGCTGCTTCAAAATTAAGCATAAAGAATTCAATTTGCATTAATTTTTTTTCACGATACTACATACAGGAAACAGCTGCTGAGATAACTTGCACATCACACTCTGGTTCCATGTATGTCAAGGTCAAGGCAGACTCCCATATTTCTGTAATATCCCCAAAAATACTATTCCTGTTTTTGTTTTTTAAATTTACAGTTATAAGATTCTTGTTGCTTTTGCAGCTGTTGTTTTCTATATTCGACACCTTATAGATATTTCGGGATGGTGAGCTCAACCATAACACAATTGTAATTGGCACTCTTTGTACTGTATTGCACACTCACTTGATACCATACTTCTCCCACTGGAAAGTTTCCCCCAGCAAAGGGTTGAAGGGCTTCAGGGTTCTGTCTTTACTCGATGACAAGCCGCTGACACAAAACGCCATCACCAGCTGTTGAGTTCAAGTTCCTCATGTTTTATTTCATTTGCTCCCAAACATACCATTATTTTAGTCTATCATTGTATTCCTCCATTTATTTCTTGAGTACCATGCAGCACACGGTCCTTTTTTTTTTTAAAGAAAATAATAAGTTGTTGTTGGGTATGAAAATGGATTAAAAAAAATTTGAGAATCTTTGAGCATGCCATGCTAAAATTATCGAATAAGAAGTAGAGCATATTTAACCTGACGAAAATACATACAAAAAGTTGTATGCTCATCAAACAAAAGCTAAAGATAATTCCACTTGCTTCAATATACTGTACTGTATAAAGAATATGCTTTCTTTACGTATACAATTTACAATTTTAGCTACTGAAGTTTTTGAAGTATCCATGTTTTGATTCCGAACACCAAAAATAAAATTGCACGCAAATTTACTTTTGAAAAGTCAGGTTGAATGTCATATATACTTTCGAGCACACATTTATGGAATTAAAGTACAGTAAATGGAGGATTTTTCGCTTCATGAATAGAGATTTTGGATTTCATCTGGTGTTGTCAAGTTGAAAAAGATTACAATTTTCGAAATTATATTCAATCGGAATTTATTTTTTTCTTGACGCATGATACATATGCGCATGGTGTTATTTGAGACATAGATTTCTGCGAAGAAAAATAGCTTAGAATTATTATTTTCATTTTTTGTTGGATGGATAGTTTCAAAATTCTTTGCATGCATATAGCCTTCATTTAAAATGGCCCTCAGCATGTATATGCGACACGTGCGAGCCTTGTCAAATGAAAAATAAAAACTATGTATGCAGCATAATAATATAAAGCGATGGGAGAAGACAAGACGACCAACTACAGTACAGTACAGTACAGTACAGTATTATACAATAGTAAGAATCACCTCCATCCTGACATGCGGATCATCAGTCGCATCCGCCTTGTTGAGCAGGTAGCCGTACTCCAGGCCCTCAGCCAGCCTCTGCAGCAAACTCAGGGGCTCATTGATGATCAGTGGCATGGTGATGTGAGTCAAGTCCTTCCCTCTCAACCCATGCCAATGCAATTACAAGAGTCAGCATATAGGAAGAAAGAAAGAAACTATGCAGCAAGTTTTCACTCACCTATGGAATGCTTCATCAAGGTCAGGAGTCCAATGGTCTTGTGTTTGTTTTTAGCAGGCAGGGCCTTCCTATATACATGTATTGGGAGGCGAAAATACTGTAGAACTATTATCGTATAATACAGTAATGGCACAACTGAACAACTTAGGCACAATTTTTGCATGAAATCCACATACAGTATGTATAGGTTATTGAAGGACAAGATGAGATGAATACTGCGATGAAATTTGCGATTCTGATATGACGAGCGTGCTGTGGATTTGACGTCGGACATTTTTACAGTTTTTCAAGAGCGACACCAGGGTAATTCCCGAATGCCCCACATTCTCGTCTACCGTCAACTATGATAGGTGTCGTACCTTGCATCACGGTCGTCGCGTGGCATAGGCTCGGTCACAGGAGTGCCAGACAAATCATCCATGAATCCGTCCAGACTCTTTCGAATTATGGCCCTTTCCATGGCACTAAAATCGTCATTTTCAGACATGTTTTTCCCTCCTCTTTTCTAGTACAGACAGTAATTCCGACTCGACTCAGTTCCCAACGTTTTCTCAGAACCCTATCAAGTTTTCTACTACTGCACCCGTTACTCCATCAGGAAACTAAGGAGGAGGCAGCAGGGGTAACAATCACTTCTCTTCAAATATATTTGAATAAATATGGTGTAAAACAGGGTAATGAAAGTGGGTAAGAACCCGTTGCAGGTTGATGAGCTTCATCGAAATGTCCCATGCCGATAAAATGGCATAGGCAAGTTTGCAGCATCCGACAGAAATGAGAAACTTAATTATTATTGGCCCACGAGCGCCGGCAAGGTGTCACCAGAGAGTAGCGACATCTGCACATGGATTTTTTTGGTTGAAGAATTTAGTCTCCTCGTCATACATCCACATGTCAGTCTTGACTACGGGGCATCTCCTCAACACAAACCACCTAGTTCGGTTTGATTAATTAATTATTGTATAATGTTCGTTGAGGTCAACAAGTAAAGAAACCAAAATGTCAATCCTGTTAAAGTGGAGTCGAATTTCAAAAACCTGGGCTTGTGAGGATGATGTGATGTGGAAGTTGTCCCTTCATTCGCTGCTGTCGTCGTCGTGTTATTCTTGTTCCTGTTCTCATGTGCGCGTTGTCGCAGCCTGTCTCGGGCTTCTTCGCTTTGCTGCTCTTTGCCTTCTTCGAAGAGACGCAGATCTGGACGGAAACGCGAGTCTGTCGCACAGATGTCGCTGCCAGGCTCGCGTCGCAACTGGTTCAGAGTCAGAGCGAAGTAGCTGAAGCTGAAGTACTGTGCATGCAGCATGCATATATGCAATTGGGTCGCCAAATAAAGAATAAATTTAAAAAAAGAGATACGTTGTTGTTGTTGTCAAAGATGAAAAATTACATCACTAGATTTGGGAGGCCTTTCCGTCATCTTGAACAAGAGTCTATCGTTTTGCGAGTCACCTGGGTCACATTTGTCAATTTTCAAAGTGCTGTTGGCCTGCGACTTCTGCAGGAAAAAAAAAAACCGAATTAGCAGAATATTCAACCTGCTTTTAAAATTAGGAAAAGCAGGTCACATCGATGGGGGTTGGCCAAAAAAGGTTCACTTTTCTTTTGCTCCCATTATTTCATGGAATGATTGAAAACTTGTTTGATCTTCACATGGATGAGATACTTTTGATCTTTTTTGTTGAAGCAGTTGCCTACAACCTTTTTTGTTGTTGAAATACTGTACTAAATAGTACCCTGCAGGAAATATAAAGAAGCCACGAACTGTTAATTGAAATAGCTAGTATACATTCCGTTGCATTCATAAATGAAACCAAGGTTCAAATTTTATTCACACTTTCATGCACTTCATATAGATTCCATACAATGGAAAGTGCACACAATTTTTGAAATATTTCTTGAAAATTGTTTACAGTACATTCTGCTCACAAAACAGAGTTCCAATATACCAATGACAAAAAGGTGTTCTGATATAAGATGGCAATAATTGTAAGTTTGCTAAATGTTGAAGGTTTTCTTTTTTAATTTTATTATTTTCATGAGCAGAAAGTTTCTTGAGTTATTCTCAAAGTAAAGTATGTATGTCAAAAGGTATAATGTTTGACATTTGCAGTACGCGTGTATATATATATATATGTTGGTACCTGTCGGTTCGTCTTATTGGCTGCAGAAGAACCAGAACTGCGGACCTTCTGATGGTTCGAGCGTCTCTTATTAACCTGCTCATCTGCTGGATTTCTCAGCCGATGGAAACCACCACTGCTGCGTGACAACAATTATAGATGTGTGCATGATGATAAAGAGCGACATCTGTGCATGGGATTATCTCACTTGGCGCCGGCTGAGGCCCTCCTGAAGTCAGGGCCGGTTGCAGAGGTGCTCATCAAGTGGTCTGCCCAAAATCCCTTGAGATTCCGCAATTTCCGCTCACTAAAGTGTTAGCAGTGCATTCGTTTTATATAACACAATTTCTTCTTAGACTTGATTCCTTTTTCTAAAGCTTAATAAATTATAATTGAGATAGGATAGTCGAAGCTTATCAATGTCATCAGCTTATTGGCGGACTGTGAAAATCGTGTTTGAAATAAACAGGCAGGAGTGACACCTACACGACAAAAACGGAAGATGAGACGCGAGCAGAGCAGAGCATTCGCGGCATTTGCAAGAAAGTTCTACCGTTATCGAAGGAAAACAGAAGCTCTATATACATGGACAGTATATAGGTTGCCTGTTGAATGCTTTTATTTTATTTTATTTTTCAACTAATAAGGCAAACTTATTATTGGGTCACGAACCCGTCAAAGATGGTCCCAACAACACGCGTTCTTTCCACGTCCGATGACTTGGCCCTGTTTCCGGCTGCAAAGTCCAGGATCCCTCGCAGCGCTGCCCGATATATACATATATGAGCGCAACAAACGCGTGTCAATTAACGTGCAATACAGAGTGAGCACCATACTTGTGGAATTGATCGATGTCATCTCAATTAATGTATAATGTATATAGTCATTATTATTCCAGCACACACACACACGCGTGGTGACTCACTCGAGTTGTGCTTCCGGATCTCCAGCACGCCGTCGTATTCCAGATGCGGGGTGCCGAACAATATGCTCTTGATGATGATCGGTACACCAGTCCAGAAGTAATGTTCATTGTGCCTGTATATTCAAGAGTGCGATTAAGTAGCAGTAATACTGCATTAAAAAACATGCAACAAAGGTTGCAACTTGAAACCAATAAGTAGGCGTGAATATTATGTTGTTTTTTTGGATTTATTTATTTAAAAACGAAAACCTACTGATGGTAATCAGCGGAACGAACGACGTTACATTTTTTTAATACAGGTACTGTATAATTATATATACGTTCATATATCCGAGATTGCGACGCGGAATCCCATGCTGTGGTTATATTTGTGAAATTGATGAAGATTGGAGAAAATTCCGTAATAAGGTGCATCAGAAACGTATTGCAATAGCGTTCGAATCACTTGCTTCTCTTCGCATAGATGTCGCTATATAGATATAGAGTGCAATAAAGTATACCGTATATGTCGTCAGCTATATGGTATACAGCAGTGCTTGATGAAAAGTCTCGGTTTCTATTAAATAAACTACAGTATATATTGTAGCATGCTGCAAATTGGTTCATGATGGTGATGATGATAACCTCTTCAAAGTGATGACGTGGTTGCTGTTGGGGTCCACTTCTAGCGACATTCCCCAAAAGACGACCCTTGGCTGGAGGTTGCAGTACACAGTGAACTGCTTTCCCTGGGCGTGGAATGCGGAGATTGGCGGGTGATGGCTGATTTGTTCCGCTATGCATCTGGTGTGCGATAAGATGATATCAACAAGTTAGTTGCAGTTGTTATCATCATCAATACTGTATATGATGTACATCTATATGCAGTATACAATACGTGTGAATATATAACGACGACGAGGCATTCGATTATTTAAGAAAAATAAAATAAATAAATAAACATATCAATCAATATAGTGACGAGAAATCATTGCCTGGAATCGGGTGTCTCCAGTTGGAATGTTTCCCCGAGAACGGGGTTGAAGGGCTTCAAGCTTCGGTCTTTGCTGGACGACAGACAACTGACACAAAAGGCCATGAGCAGCTGCAACCCAACAAGCAAACAAATGAAAAACACGAAAGAAATTGAAAGAATTCAAGTACAGGACATTATACAGTATATGCATTATTCCATCAATAAGCAGATATATGATGGTACCTCTTATTTATGGCCATCCAAGCAAGCAAGAAAGGAGTTGAGATGTCTAATATTGTATTATTGTTAATAGCCACCCGCCACTATACTCCTTTTTTTTCTAAAGGGTTTACTTTTATTTTTTTTTCATTTGCTGATGGTGATGATGGTTCCAGCCCCTATAGCTCATATATATACTGTACTGTACAGCATATAGAGTAATTTAGTATAGTACTGCTGAACAGTATATATGTATATATAGTGATCAAAGGTGACATATGATATGCACACTTGATTGACATCACTATACAGTATACAGACCTCCATCCTCAAGATGGCGTCATCAGCCTGGTCAGCCTTGTCCAGCAAGTAGCCATACTCGAGACTCTCTGCAATCCTCTGCAGCATGCTCAGGGGCTCATTCACAGACACGGGCAAGGCAATGCGGGTCAAGTCCTTCCCTCAAATAACCCCAGCATCAGCAGCACGAGAAGAATTAGTACACATCATTACAATAGAATACTCACAAAACAGTCGAGTACTGAGTACTGTGTACAGTACAGTACTTATAAATAAATAAATAAGGTATATTTTAAACTCAATTTTCGAGATTGAATAAAACATCAGCATATATAAAGAGAAATAACGGTTATTTATTGCGTTTATTTATACTTAATATGGTCAGTATATATATATACCTACCGATCAACTGCTTGACGACGCCGAAGATCTTGAGGGTCTTGTGCTTGCTCTTGGCAGGCAGGACCTTTCTGGCCAGCGAGTCTCTAGCTGCCACATACGCGCCATCTGGCGGCACCGAGTAGTCCTCCTGACAAGACTCGGGCTTCCAGGCAAACAAGTCCTGCTCGGGCATTATGTCTTTCGAGGGTTTTCTCTTCTACTTTCTCGCCCGACCACCAAGTCTTGTGTTTCTTTTCCTGCTGCTGCTGGATGGTTACAGTATAGCGCACGTATATAACCTACATAAATGTACTAATAATAATAATAACAGTTATTAAGAGAATAATATTAACTGACGCTCCCAATTTTTATCCTGCGAGGGAATTTCTTATAGTAGATGAATGAAGCCTCGTTGATATATACTGTACTGTATTTATGTCGCCTTTTATTATAAATCCGACTGTTTTCGGACTGCAGAAAAATATTGGACGAATAACGATTCGTTTATATATCACAGCATGTCTCGTCATGACATACTGTACTGTATATATTCACATTTGACGAAAAATGACGTGAAACAAACAAATTTCATTGTGGACCCATATACATGGATGCTGGACATCAGCTAGGAGAAAGCAATTACTGTATATAGTCATACATGTCTAATTGTGTAGACATTTTCGAAAATTATCCACTATAGTTTTCATCTAAATCTGAGACACTCTGAAAGCCCTCGATCGTCGTCAGCAATAAGTACGTAACTGTACAGTACAGTACATTGATTTCCATCCAAAGCACTGCCCCTTGCATTTTCCAAACATATATCACGTGTGCATTTCTCACATCATGGGTGCTGTATACAGTACAGTATATACATATGACATCATCATTCGCAAAATCAAAAAACACAGCAAGGAAATGTAATAGCACGCGTATATAAAGCTACAGGCTCAATACAATTACATCCTCATCATCATCATCATCATCATTAATCGTCAGTCAGTCAGCAGCACAATTCCACTTGAGATGAATGATATATACTGCATGCATGTGAATCACTTGAGTCGCAGGGCCTTCATGGTGTTCCTGAAGAAGGAAGGTCCTTCCCAGTAGCCCCTATATATACACACATATGCAGTACATTCAAATGACTTTTCGTATTGAGGAATGGAGGATACAGCACAGGATACAGGCAGAAAAGTAATCTCACTTGACCAGTCCCTGCCAATAAATGACGGGCATCAGTTCGGATTTCATCAAGTACATGGACGTCCTGGGCTGGCCCTGGTCCACTGGAAACGTCTCCATCGGGTTCCCGTCAAAGTCGAATTCTGCCAAAATGCACTTGTCGTAGCCTATGCAGTACAGTATAATGAGTATATATTACACATCGTGCATGGATGAAAAGCACCACTACCACATTTCAACAATAGAAATATTTCATATAGTACGCATATTTTCCTTGGCCATAACTGATGAGAACTTGACTGCAACATTTTTCAGACTAAATCCCACTCCACAAAAATAATTAAAGGATTCTCACTCGAGAGTTATGCAATTTCTGATATTGCGCTCTGTCAATTTACTTCAATAACACGTCGTGTTATAATTAAATGTTTGAAATATTGATGGAGCAGATTTATTTGCTCAGCTAGTGTGAATTCGACTTTTGTTGCCAGCATAATAACGATGAAATCAACTCACCAATGACGAGAGGACAAGAAGTGTAGCCGTCGTATGTTTTGCCCAATTTGTCCAGCTTTCCCTTCAAGGCCAAATCCAAGTTCTTTCTGAGTGTCTTTGACTGGGATGCTGCCAAAATAACAGTCATCAGATTTTAAAAATACGGTATAATCCACACTATTGATATATGCTGGGAAAGAAAACGAGTGAAGAGGAACATTTTTTTTTCTGATGCCTCAATAAGCAGAGTGATTTCACGAAAGGAAAAGAGAGAGAGAGAAAGAAAAGATTATTTGTTTTTTTCCGCATAATTTTCCATTCTATAGTACAGTATATAACTACTGTATATACTGTATAGTCAGTTATGCGGCCAGCAATAACATCAACAGCTGTGCAGTATAGTATAATACAGTATTATTGAATTGTACTACAGTATTGTATATGAAGAAGCTCACCAACAGCAGCCGCGGTTTTGGAAGTGGGCACATTCGTGCAGTCGCCGATGCCAAACACGTTGCCGTACTTGACGTGCTGCAAGGAGTACTTGTCCACCTGGAGGAAGCCCGTCAGTGGGTCAGCCAACCTGGACCTCCTGATGACCTCGGGGGCACTCTGAGGCGGACACACGTGGAGCAGGTCATACTTGAACACGGACGAGGTCAGCTGATGCTGGTTATCGTCATTTGATGATGATGATGATGATGATGATGATGAAGGTGATGATGGTGACGGCAAGTGCTCAAACACTGCCTCTCGACGACGATGGTCGACGCGGATGAGGTTGAGTCGGGTGTTGAGCTCCAGATGGCGCGACTGCATCACCTTGGTCAGCTCAGCTGCGTACTTCTTCACGCCGAACACGACGGGCAGCGACGTGTTGTACATGATGGTGGCCAGGTGTCGCTTCTTCATCTGCAGCAGAATAACGAGGCAGTAACACGGCCCCATAACAGTCTCAGTCAGTATCTTATAATGTATTTGAGCGTACAAAATAATGAACTAATGCATTAATAAGCCCATGCAGCACTCTATCAAACTGCAGCATTTCTCCCATATTCCATATAGTGAGTTATTAATAGGCATATCTATATCTCACCATGATTCAAAAAAAGACTTGTATGAGAAGGTATTATCTCTATCGTCATAACTTATTGATTTTTTTTTCTTTTGTTTCTCCTGGCCAATCATGGGCCAATGAAAGATATTTCGCTTGCTTTCTTGCACTCGACCCACAGAAATACAGTAGTTTTCTTCTAAATAAATAAATACCCACATGTATTCCTCCTTATTGTCAGAAGAAAAAGAAAGTGGGAAAGTGAACAACCTAAAAACTAACTTGACTGAAGTACATTCAGCTGAGCATAAATTATATCATTGCAGCCAATTCATAAAACAACAGCAATGAGAGAATAAGGTACAGTACTGTACTCCTATACAGTACTGAATAATGGTCTGTGCCAACGACATGAGTTCTTGAATAACATGTGCACAAATTCTCATGGCAGCAGTGACGACCCCACCAAAATGAAAAAAAAAAAAGAAATTGTAATGCAGTCATTCAAAGGCCATCACTATATGTATAAGTCACATCACAAAAAGGGGTACCAACCTGGGTCAAGCGCCAATCAGTCAAGTACATGATCTTCTGCGGGGCTCCAGCACACTTGACTGGGGTATTGGGGAATGTGAAGATGGCGTTGCCCTTTTCGAAATTCCTTATAGCCGGGTAGGTTTTGCTCACATATTTGGCATGGTAGTTGGAGCAAACTTGCGGGTCTTGTTCCAGGGCTTCCAACAGACCATCAACCTTGAATAAAAAAGAGTTAGAGACACAATGAGATTCATGCAATATATACTATACTTATGGCAAATTTTTTTTTTTTTTTGGCAACCAGGACATTTTTGTACAAGATGAGTCAGAAAATAAACAATGGCTGGCATGAAAATGATATTAACTTTTCTTATTTTTAATTTATCTTCTGCTGCAACGGCAGTACCATATTTACTCACAACAAGTGCAGCCTTTTTTCCAAAATTGAGGGGAAAAGATGGGATTAAATTTTAAATATACAGCAGGCTCAGTGGGGAAGTTTGGATCAATTTTAAGTTGAGTTTGGCAAACATCACCATTTTACAGTATGGCTTATAAGGCAGTATACTGTATTGTCAAAACTTGTTTGATTTTTTCATGGTTTTGGCCCAGCATGGACCAGGGAAATACATGTTTATCAGATCAAGGTGCAATGTCCATTTCCAAACATTTCCATGAAAAAAAAGTGCATGTCAGTACTACATAGCCTTCGTCCAGCTGGACTCAGAAGCTTCATAACTGGTTTTAAAAGATACTCAGCTGCTAAACTATGTTGCAATGAATTTTTAACGAAAGGGGGTGGGTTGGGTGTGGGTTATTTCTTAAAGTAAGCAGCAGAAAAAGAGGTGGTATTTACTGCATCGAAGTTTGTCTGGATCCCCATGGCAACAACTAGAAAGTCGTAGGAAACTGCGCGCCCTGAGGCAGTCAGCACTTGGTTTGCCTCAGGCTGGAACTCAACTGCCTTGTCGTGAATCCAGATGGCGTTCTTGTCGAGTACCTCTGACATTTCCTTGTGGCTGCCCCCGTGGCACAGTTTCTTGATCCCACCTCCTACCAGTGTGAAGTAGGGCTGATAATAATGCACCTGTTGACATTCAACAAGAAAAAAAAGTCCATCATTGATGGAAATTTGAAGAGAAATCCAGGCTCCGTCCCTGCAGTAATAAAAGAGACCCCATGCAATATGATTCAGTACATGTGATGATTTCATATAAAATGTGGGGTCCCAGAATTGTGGGAAGTAAAAAAAAAAAAATGCAGAAAATGTAATTCACTTGGCGCTTTTGAGAAATCTGCCACAACATATGGACAAGAACTCAGAATATATCAACACCTTCTCATAAAAATTTCCAGAAAATTAAAACTGTTTCATTTTTATGTATATTTTCGGTCTCCCTTATTATTGGACAAATAATAGAGCAGGTATATATATGCCATGGAAAAAGGTCAGCATCAAATTGGTTGCACATTTTAGCCAATTTTTAAAGTCACACTATACTGTACTGTATACACAAAACAAGTTTTAACTCACGTGACTAGGTTCAATCACTGCAACTTGGTTCTTCCCTAGTTTACTGGCAAACTTGTTGGCCATTGTCATGCCTCCAGATCCTCCTCCAACAATCACCAACTTGTACCTAAATGATTTAATATGCAACTGTCATAATGTTCATCAGCAGCAGAATACATCAATTGCCTATAAATTCAATATACAACACAATGTACTGTACTATACAGTACTGTATATATAGTACCTTTCAGGATGAGTTGGTGTTGGTACTGATGATGAAGCTGTGCTGGTACTAGTACTACTGTTGGAAGCAAAGCCCCTACAGCTCATGGCAGGATGATTGCTGCTGTCATTGGTGAAAGCCGAAAAGTAAAGTGCAGTCAAGTGTTGGGTCTTTGGGTCAGAACAGGTCATTACTGCTCTGCTGGTCAAGCCTCCAATTGTTGATGTCACACGCAAAGCCGCCATATTTTTTCACTGATATTCTTCTTGTAAATCTGTGTATGCTGTCTGCAAGATGATACTGTACAGTATGTGGAAAACATGGAGATAGCTACTGTATAACGAAAATAATAAGCCACACATGAGAAAATACGAGACTTGCTGATCACCGAATGTGGTATATATACAAACCACAAAATAGGGCTATACAGAATAGCATTTACGCGTCATTTTGTAACATACGTATATGCTGGAACGCAGTTGGTGTAATCGTGAGGGGCTTGAACAGCACTGCTGGTTTCTTCAGCCCCGTAAACGGGTACGACACCCATCACCTACACAATGGTCTATTATTCACGAGTACCACTGCTGCTGTTTGAATGAAAAAGGAAGATAACCTTGAAAATCAAGTGTGAAACAGGACTTGTTGCTGCTGGTCGCTGTGAGAGGGCCAGACAGACTGAACTCAAAAGTCAAGTGACAGGGTAGGAATCTGAACGAGAGGGACTGCTGTGTAAAGAGGGCAGGATGAGAAGGAGAGTGTATATTGCCACAGCATGCAGGTTCCCATGTGAATGTGAGGGAGAAAACGAAAGAATTCCAGGGAATGTATGAGAAAGATAGTTAAAATAGAGGGAGTATATGGGGGGTGTTGAAGGAGGAGCGATGAGAGGGGGGACCAGAAGGAGTGCGAACATGTGTTGGGCGGCTGCCACTCTTGGCTGCTGACAAAATATCCTGACATATCTCTGTTTGCAACATCACTTACAACAGTACTCTATTACAGCAGTGTTCCCCAATCTTTCTAGGCCAGCAGACCAGAAAACAAAACCATTTTTCAGACCATTACATTTCTCAAAATTTTTCTGCAGATGAGCAGCAGCAAAGTTTTATTAAATTTTTGCAGACTCACCAAAGTTTTGCATGAGTCTTAGCAGGCATGTATTTACAAAAAAAATGCAGTTAATACAGTAACGTCATCAAACAATGGGAAAGGTGGGCTTGGAGAAAGATTGCTCTAAATAATAAAATAGTCTATTTCAGCAGGTGAAAATGTGTCTGAAGTGTTAATTATTTCATTAGGAGAAAAGCTAATTTTTATTTTCATCCGAGAACGCAACTGCCTTTGTCCTTCCGAAATATAGGGTTAAGAGAACAGACTTTTTTTCTTCCAACTTTTGATAAATTAAATTGTGCTGAAAATTTCCCGCGGACCAGTGCCAATAGTCTGTGGACCATGCTGGATTGGGGAACACTGCTGTTCATTCAGAACCATCAATAAGCAGCAGCAGCAGCACAACAAGAATAAAATGAGAATCACTACTATCGTTCTCCCGTCAGTCGCCGACAAAATAGCGTGGACGAGGACTTGGGGAACTTTTGAAAATACCCTTACCTTACGTAACAGGTTATATGATACAGTACGGAATCGTGGGGGAAAGGTGCAATCGCAGGGCATTGGTTTTCTACTGGCACTCACGCACTCAGTTACGGGGAATTTTCTCTGCTATTTCATCACCGTGACCTTATCCAGCATTTGGGATTTTTCTAAGCACGGATACAAGATAAGATGCCTTTGGAAGAAAGCAAAAAATAGACGAATAAGATGGAACCTATAAAACCATGCTGGCACAGTGACATGCAGTACCGTATTTACATGAAAAGATTTGAAGAGTGCGCATTGCGGAATTCTTTAAAACACTTATTTATCTAGAAAATTAACCATTTGTTAACTTCCCCTATCAAACATAATGGAGAAAACTGACACAATTACTCTGATTTTTGAGATGCAAAAACCATGCTTCCAAATCAACTTGTATAGCAGTGTTATCCAACTTTTTTTGGACCCACGGACCAGCAAATTTTCATACAAATATTCTGCAGACCGGCAAATTTCAATAAAATTTTCTTCGGATTGGCAGTACTGTATTTCAAGAAATTTTCGCAGACCAGCAAATAATTTTAAATACTTCCCATATTGAGTCCTCCAAAACATTTTTTTAAAAATTACGTTAAGAACCAGTAGAGCAGCTATAAAGCAATGTTTTCAAAAAATTAGAAAGCTGGGCTTGAAAAAAAGTTTCACAGAAGGAAAAGCAAAAATAATTTATTTCAGCAGCAGGTGAAAATTATTCTTGAGCATTAATAATAAAGGAAATGACATTTGTTTTTATTTCAGACAGATAGTTTCAACTGCCATTGTTTTTCCAAAATATCAGGTAAAAATAACAGATTTCATTACAACTTCTGATGCGTTTATTATTCTGAAAATTTCTCGCGGACCGGCAAAAAACTTTTGCAGACCAGCACCAGCAGTCCGCGGAACACCAATTGAGGAACACTGCTCTTTAGTATTTCGACCGTTTTTTTTTTAGATTATGAAATTGGACCACATGAATATTGCCAAAGCAAAATTAATTTGGATGCTATTTCAATAAAATATCCCCTCCTTCTGTTTCATGCGATTTCAATATGTATTTAACTTCTTCAATATTGGGGATAGATGGATGTATGCAGCATATGTGTAGGATGTCCAGTTTTATTTTATTTTATTTTGTGGAGTGTGTTCTCTTCTGTTTTTGTCATTGGTTTGTGCTTAGTTTCATGATATGAAGTGATTGAATGTCTTGGGGGGAGTTGAGTTGGGTGGGGAGGGGGTTTGGCTGCGGGAGTTTTGGTTGTGCCTTGTGAACGCTGAAAAGCGGCAAATAAAGTTTTCTGTTCATTCCTTCATTCATATGTATTTTTGAAATTGAATGCTATTTATTAATAACATACTTTCAGCATTAAAAGCTTTTATTGTAACTGTATTATATTCGCTTGTTTATATAGACACACTTTCCATGAGGCAAAAGAGCAAAACAGCACATTCGAAATCCTAAAAGTCCACCCTGGAGAAGCCAGTCATGTTCCACACCAACTCGCCCCGAGTCCTGAGCTTTTCCAAAAACGCCATCTCCAATTCAGCTTGATTCATTTTCCTCTTTATGGATTCTCTGTCGGGTATTTCGGGAAACCACAAGTGGGTCCAATGATTGATGCCTGCAAACGACACCCAGGGACATCTATGAACAGCAAGCATGACTGCAACCAGGGCTGGACTGGGGCACTGTTCGGGTGCCAGACCCACGACCCTCCTGACATTCGCCAGGAAAGCGAGGTCAATAATACCCACCACCACGACTGCTGTCGCCGGTGATGAGGTTTCACGATGATGCTTCATCATCTGAAATAGGGAAAGAAAATCAGCACAGGATTTTTTCTCTTTTTGTTTTTTATCCAATTACAGTATATAGTAAAATGGCGAGGTGTTCTGCATCGCACCAAGATTAAAAAAAAAAAGAAATGATATTATGATTTCCGGCTGATTCGGGCAACAACTTCTGCATGCTTGGTCAATTGCATTATTGTTCTGATGAATTTGCATGAGCTGATGAAGCTTACACTGAATATAGTTCAGGACTTTGAATGCTGAAGTCATGCCTGAGTTTCTTTTACCTAACTTCTTGGTCAAACAGAATGAATAATTGTATATTTGGGTTGTGCAATTGTACATCATTCTGGGATGTATTTTCTTGTCTTTTACTATCCATATACTGTATACAACTTGGGTTTCTGTTTTCCATTTTGATGTGAAATAATGGAATGTCTTTGGATGAATGATGTGGGTGGGGAGGGGAGGGGGTTTGGATGCAGGAACATTCATCATAGCTTGAACCATCTGACGAATGCTGAAAAGTGGAAAATAAAGCTTGCTGTTCAACTCAATTCAATCCGAATAAATACTTTTCATTTTTTTTTTAATATAAGCACTTTGAATTTCACACTTTGCTCAGGGGGAAACAAATGAAATTCTACATTATATATTCTGTGGGATGAAAAACAAACTTATTCTGCCATTGTTCTAATGGTTGAATTACATAGCATTTAGTTTAGTACAATGTATAAAGCCACAAAATTCTAACTTTTGATTGATGGAACCATGTCAGGTCGGAATCAGTGCATGGCTGAAACAGCACGTCAAAAGCACCATCTTCAGCGATAACTCCACCTTGTCTGCGATTGTTGTCATCATTGAGACCAGCATTAGTGTCCAAAAAGAGTTTGGCATGAGACTTTTGCATGATGACAATGTCGGACTTGTGTCCAAGCCAGTCCATGGTGTGCAGATCGGTGTCGCTCATCAGCAGTGGCAAGTGTCCCTGATGAGTGATCCTCATGACAACATCCAGTCTGTCCAGCATGTAGCCAAGGTCTTCTGTGGGCACTTTATCAAAATATACAAAATGTCTCATTACAGCTGTGTATATCGTCCTTATATTCCGTTACGGAAGTGATGATAACAAAAGACGAGAGTGCTAAACTGTATGCTTTATATTTAATGTGTGTATGCAATAATAAACATACTGTGATTAAATAAGGGGCCTTCACGCATCAATGCAAATTCTTGCTTTCAAAAACAAATTGTATTTTAAGACACATTAATCGAGAAAATAACAATTGTTTACAGCTGCTATACCATCACAGAATCTCTGTTTAGTGCGTACTGCATATATATATATATAGGCCCTTTTGAAGCTCAGTATACCAGTGGTTATTTATTGCAGCTGCACAGCACATTTCTTATAAATATATATATATATATATATATATATATATAGTGCTGCATGACACACACATCAATATACTGTACTGTACATCATATCACCATTATCATGATATTCATGAAATCAATTTACTCACACATTTGCGCACCAACCACAGCACAAGTCAAACATCCCTTCTCAGCATCATCGGAATAATCCTCATCGAGTTTCATCCAATTATTGGCACGTTTATCATTATTATTGTCCCCAACAATAAGAGTCACTGGTTTCGAGTCGAGGTCGAATTCCGGAATCATGCTGGAAACCTTCCTCACGTGTTTTGCCAGTCTGTTTTGGCAAAACGCAACGAAGTGGGGATCCTGATGATGATGATGATGGCGATTGAAAAAGAGTGCCACGAGGTCGTCTTTGATGCCATTCTCATTGACGAGGAAAACAGTGTAAAACAAGTGAGTCAAGGTGACCAGCAGCAGGATCACCGTCCAATTGATGGACGCACAATTACTGAACATGTGGCACAAGAATAACTTGTTGGGCAGCAACAGCATGCTACTATTACAATTAATAATGCTGGCAGCAAAAAAAAGGAGAACAATGGCGACGAGAATCAGGGGAATGGGATGATGATATATACGAGTTCTATATGAGAATGAAAGTGTATTACAGTATATACAGCATGCATCAGGACGAGATGCTTGATATCAATGCAGGGGGTACGTATATATTGATATATATACATGCTGTGAGAATAAATGGTTGGCAGGTTTTTTCTTTTATTTTTAGATATTTACACAGCATCAGCAGCAGCAGCAGCAGCGTGCATACACTATATATACTTTCAAATAACATATATATATATTTATTGACAGAATATAATAATAATAAGGAATAATAAAAAAATATATATATATGGGGATGACGACGATGAACCATATATACATATATATAGTAAATAAAGATGAAAATGCAGCGTGTATATATAATTCAAGTCTGCGGTGTGATCCTGCTCGTGTTCTGCTTGATGCCCGCAATGGCGGCCACGGACTTCCTGGTCGAGTGGTCCAGCGTGTCCGAGTCGGCAGTCGGCAGCGGGGTCGTGGACAGGCCAGATGAGCCCCTCGTCTTCATATTGTCCTTGTTATTCTTGTCGTCGGCCTCGTCCTGCAGGTGCTTCTCCATGTCCTCCCTGCTCCGGTACCGGGACGCGATGAACATCATCAGCAGGGTGGACAGCACGATGCCCACGAGGTACACGACAAACTCGTGCCACTGCGCAAATAAATAAATATATATATATATATATATACTGTACGCATGCATACAAAAGATACACAATGAGTCACTGCATATATATATATATATATATATATATACTGCATATAAACCAAGAGTAGAGAAAAATACAAGTGATGAGGTATATAAATGCAATGTTTCTTATTACTACCAAGTTCTTTCTTTCTTCTTGTACTGTATACACATAGTTGTGAAACATTCCAACTTGTGAAATCATAGCACCGAAAATGTTTAAATACAATTCAGAAATTTAAAAAATGGCTGAAGAATTACATCTTGCTGCTTATTCGAGTGTGGACAAATGATGAAGTTTTCCAATTGGTTTCTGATACTCAAACAGTATAAATTGTTCTTACATTTGCATATTCAAAATAAAATCTACCTGCAATTTCAATTTGTCAACTACTGATGTATATCTGCCTTTGTATACTTTGATTAAGGTGCGTAAGAAAACTTTCAAATCATGCTCAAACTCTACAAGACTTGAATCATTCAGGGATTAAAAACAAAAAACTTTTGTGACAGATGATAAATAGAGTGACTCATCTACGCATAAAAAAGGAAAATAATAGTCTCGACACATGATGAGTGAGCCAAAACACTCTCTAAATAATAAGATTCAAACTACATCTACACAGCACACACTTGCTGACTGTACGTGTAGCCCAAAAAAAGAAACAAAGAAGATGATGAGGAAGAGAGAGACACTCACAGCAGGAGGTTGGTAACAGTGTCTATGATTATTTAATAATGTCATCATAATCGTATATATATATAATGTTGCATGCTGGTGCATCATTCATTTTTCATATAGACTCACAGCAATGATCATTATTTGCCTTCATTAACATTTACAAGAGGGAAAACATGCACGCATTATTACCATCAAGAGGTCAATTTCTTGAATGAGGACCATCGCTGGTCCAAACAATGACGTGGAACCGTTGTAGCAAGCTTGTGCGACAGACTTCATGTCATCCAGCGACTGACGACGCATATAAATCACAAGATCACCCGCGTCATCAATCATGGTGGAAAAAGAAATTCGAGAGGCAGAAATAAAGAACTATATATAATTCACCATTGGCAATTGAAGCATCAAGAAACTCACTTCGGAATAGAAGAAGGCGACGCTTGTTGGTGAAGCCAGAACTTCAGAAGCAGTTGCCAAAAATATGATCAGTAGGATCCACAGCAGGTGGACATCAGCTGGAGATGCTTGAACAACAACACTGGTCTTTGGGGCCTATATATAGATGAATAATAATAAATAAAGAAGAAAAAAATATATACATATGTATGACATATACTTATTATTATGGATGCACAATAAATAGAGAAAAGGACACTCATATACCCCAGCTGACCCGGAAACCATGATGGAATAGACTCCTCCGGAAGCAAATCTTGTCGTCTGAGTGAGTTTCCCGTCCACTTTGATATCATACCTGCATTTTAAAAATAGTATACCTCCCGTTACAAGAGCATATATTCTCGTCGTCGTCACAAAAAAGCCTTTCCTCGACTATATATATCCGTACAGAAAATCAACAGGATGGGGCATCATATTATTACAGTGACTGCTGATGATGGCCAACTTTGTAACTTTTCATTTCAATTGAAACGGGATGCATATATTAGTAATTCTTATTTTTGCTTTACACACCCTTTATAGTTTTCAATAAGCAATGCATTTGGGATCGCGTGAATAGCTTAAATATATAGTAAGCAGCATATTTCTGATCAGAACATGTTTGATGAGAGACTTGACTTGATGATTTTGATCAGCATATCAGCAGCAGGTGGACTGCTCTCGATCTCTATACAACGACATTCAAGCTATAGGCTATAGGGGTCATATCAGAATAAATTCCTAGTCGATGTACTTTTGTTATTGTCAAGATAAACCCTATATATATATACCCATATACGTATACTATATTGTACAGTATCAGAACGACTTGAGAAAACAAAACAAAGAGAAAACCTGCCTTTTGCTAATGCTGCCTATTATATACATAGACCTCTACTGCATCACTTTTAGCTTACTCATCATGATGCATTATTCACCAGCATATATACAATTATATATATATACTGTATATGATGTACAGTACACTATAACACGTCTGCTGCATATATATATATATAACAATATATGCCACCACCAGCAACGCTATACGAACGTTTTGACGTCGGGCTTGTCCAAGTAGGGCGACGGGCCAGGTGCAGCAGACGGCAGGTCAATCTTGGCTTGGGCGGGGGCAGACGGGCCCTCGTCGGCCGGAAACAACTCGAGGACTCGTCCGGCCCCCGGGGACAGGACAATGGCCCGAACCGCGGGCCTGTTGGTCACCGTCCTGCCCACGAACTCGTCGGGCCCGGGGAACATGCGGATGGCGGGTGCAGCTGCAGAGCCCGTGACGAGGCCCGTGTAGCCCAGGCCAGGTTCCCCGGCCGGCACGGAGCCCAGGACCTGGGACCCAGCCACGTCGCTGGAGAAGGAGTAGGACTTGCCGGGCTCCAGCAGGTTCCAGACCCCGGTGCCGCCCGGCGGGATGGTCCGCATCTGGCCAGGGCCACCGCCGGGCCCGCTCTGATGGAGGAACACGGTGGCCGAGGCGCCCGGGTCGTCCAGGCCATTCACCAGCTGCACCAGGAAGTCACTCCTGCCCGCACTCGGCGGCATGGAGGACTATATAAATATACGTTTTTATTCAATCATGATCCTTGCTTCATTCATTCATTTCGTCATTACATGTTTTATTATACTGATCCAATGAATCAATAAATAAATGATGCGAAAACTTCCCTTTTTACAAAAATCATATTTATAGTATATTCACATATATTAACTGCTGTGTGTATACTACAGCTGCACTGTATTGTACATCATAGATGCACTGGGCAGCAGATGATATTACATTTACAGCAGTACTTATATCACAAGTTCTGGCGTATTATACAGTATATATATATAGTATACATGATGTGCATTGGATTTGGATGTACGTAGCAGTATGCAGGTTATATATATATGCATGCAGGACACGATTTAAAATTAACATCAGGGAATATATAACGGGGCAAACTTCAATGCGCAAAAATCAGCTGCCGCCTGATTAACAACAATAAGTAAAAACAAGTACTGTATATCAATACTGCTAAATAGTTTACAGTATTATAGCAGCAAAAAAATGTTTGCATGCAACCAACCAAAATTATACACAGTCGTATAAACAGTTCCAAAAATTGTAGAAAAAATCTTTCAGCGAAATAACTGAACATCATCCTTCAATCATCAATAAATCAGGAATATATGAGGTTTCTTAGCCAGCACATTTTGAATAACCAATTTCACAAGTTTTAATTTTAAAAATTACATCCAGAGCATAATACTTTTTTTTTCAAAAAGGACAATTTTTCATAACCAATAACAACAAACATTACAAGTGTTCCTGACTAGATACTTGAAATTTAATTTACACAAACAAATATTGTATGCCTGGCACACACTGTAGTACCGTACAGTATTTATCTCCTAATACTACTTTCACAATACCTGGCTAGAAACAGCAGTCTTGTTTAACAGTGCCTGATGATGACTGGTCAATTACCTTTTAATGGTCCTGGTTACATATTCACATTTATGTGTGCCAAAGTCATGTACCTTTCTTGTCTGGAACATGAAGTCTATATAAAGGAGTTTCTGAACACTCCCCAAAAAAATTCATTGTTAGTCTGGTCTTTGTTGCGTATGCTGGTTGAATATAACTATATTCACACTCACTAAAAAAAAAAGAAGTAAAATAATTTCACTCCACCCTGATGGTCATGCAAATGAATTACTTTTTGACTAATTACACGAGTTGTCCTAACAGGTAATATCAGAACCAAGAAAATTGATCTGCGAAAGAGAATTTCAACGCGTTTGTATTTGCTTTGACAAATTCTGACATGACGAGTGGTATATGATATACATGAGTGTAGTACATATACCGTACATGAGTGGTTTATGATGATACACTTGAACACGGAATTTCCCTTCAAATTATTCTATTTCATCTGAACAGGGATACATTTGTGTTTACGCATATATATATATACAGTATACAATATGATATAAAAGACTCACGTCAACCATGTAGACAATAGCAACGCAAGCAACAAGACATGCCACCATGACCCAGAAGCCGGCCACTAGTTTCTGCAGGAGAGTAGTGAGGATGCCAATTTTGTGGCAGAATGGGAACACGAAATAGATGCAAATGGGCACCAGGAGCCAGATCAAAACAGGGTTCACAAAGTAGAGCTGATCAGCCTTCAACGTGTAGTCGGTGTACGGAAGAGTTCCATTCATGACATAGCCCAGGTCCTGCAGTCTGCTTGACTGTCATTATATATATATATATAGACAAGTAAGTGTGTGTGTGTGTGTGTGTGTGTGTGTATACAGCAGTACAGTATATATACATGCAAAAACATTATAGTCACTTTTATTGTGATGAATCATTTTTAAAATGCATGCTGATGGGAATAATAAGTGACGAAATATGTACAATATTGCATTAGCATGAATGAATGAACTTATTGCTGCTGATGGATGATGATTCAATGTACAATTTTGCTCAGCAACTTGAATGGAAAAATTACAATGAAAGGCTAATCTCTCGGTGTTTCCGTCCTTTTCTTAGTTAATTAGACTTGACTATATGTATATGACAATAATTCTCAGCAGGATTTCCTCATTATTGCTGCACGCTTGCTGCTGCTTGAGAAAAAAAGAAAGATTATAGCAGATCCTGTGTCATGAAATCCATATATTGTACACATATACTGCTGTACAGCATGCATTGTATGAAACGAAACTCACTGACAGATCATAGAGAGACCAGTAGACTGGATAAGGGGCCAGAAGCAGCAGTGTTCCTAGAAAGTGCCTGGTGTGCTCTGTGAATTCGTAGGTGTAGCCACTGAGTTGGGCATAGTGCAGCCAATGGGTGTACTCTGGCACTGCGGGCTTTGTCCACTTGTTCTTGATTCCGAACTATATGTTCAAATGTAAAATGATGTACAGTACGGAGTACATCAGTTAAACTAAACATACACGGTACAGACGACATTACAGTATAAGTACACTATTACATATTACGCGGTTATCTGCATGGTAATAATAACGATCATGCAAAGCAACAGCACATGCAGCAGTAGTGTAAAATAGTGTTCAATCTTACTTATTTGGGATCTCTTATTTTCTTGCATTTCTCAGCACGCAAATAATTCCCTGAGCTATTTATGACACCTTGACAATTCAGGGAGAAGATTATATAGTACAGTATTATTAAAGCAGAGTGGGTCTTGAAAAAGATAAGAACACAAATATATATATATATATATATGCTGGTTCGATCCGTCGTGATGACGCCCAGGGGAAAATCGTCTGCATCTTATAATATCATAGCTGTCACTGGATCTACACGATGTAATCAAAGAGAAAAAAAAACATTAATTCGTTTTAAAAACCAGTTTCCACAACACAGATTGGAAAAGATGGAGGAACATGTAACAACAAAGCTGATTCATCTGCTGGGCCCGGGTGATTTAAAAAAAAAAAAAACATATCAAGTGCATAAAGTACTGTATATATATATACCTACTACAGTATACCGCTGTACACATGTATTACAGTATATATATATATATATATATATATATATATATATGATTTCAAATACGCACGCAGCAATATTATACAGTATTGTATACCATGTATACGTATAAACAGTATAAAAACTCACAAAAATACAGGATACGACCTTCCCGAGCACATTTCCCACCGTAGGCATTTTGGTGTACCACGGACTGCCAGCAACAAAGGAGACTGATGAGAAAAAGAGTATACAGATACTGTTTTTAGTAAATGCGTGGACTGTATATACTGCTGTATATCACTCGTCATCAGCAGCAGCAGTGCTACTGTATATTGTACGTGTACGCCATGTCAAACATGTACAGTACAGTACAGTAGTACAGTGCAGTATACAATAAGAAACGGCCAGCATGATCAACAGCAGCAGCAATTACTGTATACATTCATCATGCAGGACTATTATTACATATACTTTACCATATTTATATACAGTACTGTATATGCCATTTCCTAATTCGAAACCCTCCCTCAAGTCAAAACCCTACTGCTCATCATGTATATCAAAGTTTTTCTGGCTTTGTCATCTATAAATGTCCCCATCAGTAATACGGTGCACGAGTATATACGAGTATATATATATACAGTACAGTAACAGCATGCTGCAGCAGGGGGCCTTGAGCAAAAAACCTTATGCATTATTCCAATGGTTGTTTGTTGGTGCTCATAATTAATAAGATATGCTTGTTGTCCATATATGATTTCACATACCGTATAGTGTAAATAATAACGTATATGAGAGGTCATGCTATTTATTGTTCCATATCAGCAGTGCGAATAATTGAAATTAACGCGCTGGAATAAAGAAATGAAAAACTGAGAGACAGAAAATAGAAACAAAATAAGAAAACATAAATTGGTGATGATTTCATATTATAAAAAAAAATACATATATATATATTATCTTTGGCAGCAGCATATATAATTATTAGAGATGCAGCAGACGGATAATGAATGGCAATTAAAATTCTTCTCACAATTTAAATACACAAAATCTCATTTCAATTAATTCTCACTTTTGGTAATATAATGTCTCGAGAGAAAAAAAAAGAAATTAATTTACGATTTTAATCGATAACATGTGAATGGAGGATTTTCTCTTTAATTTTTTTCTTCTTTGGGGACTTGATTTTGGTCCATGATGAGGTTTGTATATATATATATATATGCCTATAATGATTGAAACTGTTTGTTTATTGATGGTCATGAAGGCATCAGCATGAATGACAGCCTGCATTATAAGGATAAATATATAACCCGCAAGTTTGCTGATTCAAGATGTATATATACATATATATATGCTGATGTACAATATATATATACTGCTCCTACTGCATGATGATGATGATGATGATGATGATGATGGCGATGCATGTAATATATACTGCACTGTACCGTACTGTCTCATATAATTATCACACGACGAATAATATGATAAATCAATCAATCAATGAGCTTGCCAAAGAGAACGACGCCGAAAATTGCCGCCACTCCCAGGGCCAGCGGGTAGCAGTCGTTCTTGCCGAAGCAGGGCAGGTCCCTCAGCAGCGGCGCCGTCACGTTGGCAATGAAGGCGCCCAAGTTGAAGATGGTGTACATCCAGTAGAAGAACCGCTCCTTCTCCTGGTCCTGTTCCGGCGACTTGAACTGGTCTCCGGCAAACGCGTTCATGTTGCTCGTCCTTCCGGCCGCACTCACAGCCAGCACAGTCCTCCCTCCCCAGGCCAGGGCTCTATATATATATATATATATATATATATGCAGAGTACAATGCGATAATTCATATACACAGCAACAGCAACAGCAGTATAATATACAGCAGTGCATATATATATATTATTGTATACTGTAGTATACTCTATCGTATTTACTCATCAATCAATCAAGTAAGACGCGCATCATCAGAGTTTCACACAGCACCATCATCCAGTCAATGATATTTTGGTATATACGATTGCATCATGCCGGGGTATATATATATATATACAGTAATTAATTAAGACACGCATCAGTACCCCATTTTTGAGTGATGGCTCCAACAAGAAAAATAAAACCAATAACCTTGCATCCGAAATTGAATTTACACACGAATTCATCATCCTATATGAATCCAACAAATGTATATACAATTAGTGCACGACGATCGACGATCCATTGCTGGAATTTTTTGTTGTTGTTGTTGTTTGTTTTCCCTTTAAAACATCTTCCCGTTCAAATTGGTCCAAAATCTCCCATTTATTAAAATCAAATCGAATCGAATGCAAGCATTAAACTTATTTGACAAATGTATACCCCCGTCTATATAAACCGCACCCTATTTTTCCCCTCTCCATTTTTTTTACTCGAGAAAAATTCGCGTGGTACTCGATTAAATACGACATATGTACAGTATATATACAGTACTGTATGTATTAGAAACGCATATATATATATATGAAGTACGTGCAGCAGCAAAAAAAATACAAATATTATAATACATTACTGTTGAGGTTTTGAGTATATATGGGGAAATACCTACCGTTTTTGCAGACGAGGAAACAAATGAATAATTACAGCTATGAATATAATGAGTTGCTTTAACTGATGGTGACATTCTTCACCTAGCTATAATTATACTGCAGCGAGGACGAATACACTTATTGCTGACAAAGGATGCTCAAGATGTTGAACTTGGAGGTAATGTATAGATACATTTGCCTGATTAAATATACAGCAATTAACGCACTTGGGATATTTCGCCTGCTTTTGAAAAGCAACTACAGTACATACATATGCAGTACACATTTTATTATAGTCGCATTTTATTGCTTTTCTACTCCCTATCCTTGCTCGGTATGTCTCCATCAGTGGAATCATGTAGCACCTATATATATATATATATATATATATATATATTGTTTAAATGATGGAATTTGGCCAACTTACAGCAGGGACAAAAGAAAAATTTGACTGCAGAAGAGGTTTTCTCTATATTTTATACTTGGGAAGTTTATCACGTACACCATCAAACTTGTACAAAATATACATAGTATGTGGGCATATATATACGCACGTTATTGAAAACTTGAAATACCGCGTATGTTATTCATTCCGTGGAACAACACGCATTTGTATTGCACTAATACTGTACTGTTGGGATCAAGTATATAGTTTAGCAAAACTGTTTTATCATTGTCGTGATGTAAATCAAATCGCTTACCATACTTATTAGCAAGTGCGCCAAAAATATGAAGAAATTGAAACTATTCTGTACACTTGTACAGTACAGTATATGCCTGCTGCAGTGCAGTAGATGCAGGATAATAAATATAACAACGCATTTTGTCATAGGATCATCTTGTATACGTACTAAGCTTATTATTGGCATCAGGTTCACTTCCAGAAAGAAAAAAAATTAATTCATTGATTATTTAACATTTTGCCTTCTATATCAGGTAGAATGCAACTTTTAGACACTGCATAAATCCTGCTGCTGCTGTTTGCATAATGATGGGCTGTGCCAATAATCTTGAAAACTATATATATTTCCACGCCTCACCAAAAATGATAATTCAGTGCATAAAATATCTGCATACATTTCAGGAGCCTTATTTCAAATTACAGTAATACTTTTTGGAGTCAATATATAAAAAATAATGTCAAGTGCTTTACATTTATACTGTACGAGGGTTCTAACAAAAGTTCTCGGAGTCAACCACAAGCCATTGCTGGAGGTGGATGAACATTTTTTTATTGGATTCCTCATCCTTTTTTAGCCTAGGACCAATTTTTTTGTCATCCCTAGACAAAAATGGAAACTGGGAAAAAAAATTGAATGAATTTTTTCTGGTGATGTGCCCACCCATTCTAACAGAAGTTCTTGGAATCAACCACAAACCGTCACCGGAGATGGACGTGGATTTTTTTATAGGATTCCTCATCCTTTTTTGGCCTAGAATCGTTTTTTTTTTCATCCCCAGACAAAAATGGAAAGGCAAAATAAAAACTTGAATGAGTGGTATCCGATGAAGTGCCCACCCATGACCAAAGAGCAGTTGCGCACATGCATGCTCCTGCACANTATGCATTTGATTGATTCAATAATGGAAATGTACATGGTGTGTATAATTACAAATATAAGTACAGCAGGGGTGTTTATTATTGCAACAACACAAGCAGTGCTGGTATACATATCCGCTGTAAATATGTACACAGCTCATGCATATGAATGAATGAACAGAAAACTTTATTTGCCGCTTTTCAGCGTTCACAAGGCACAACCAAGACTCCCGCATCCAAACCCCCTCCCCACCCAACCCAACTCCCCCCAAGACATTCAATCACTTCAAATCATGAAACAAAGCACAAACCAATGACAAAAACAGAAGAGAACACACTCCACAAAATAAAATAAAACTGGACATCCTACACATATGCTGCATACACCCACCCATCCCCAATATTGAAGAAAAAGCAGCAGTAGAAGTTTATTTAAAGTACAAGGTCTTCAGCCTGTTTCTGTATGAGTTTTAGTTCAATGAACAATTTAGAGAGAATCTTTGAAGAGAAATCATATAAGGCCAAAAATGTATCTTGATCCTTTAAGATTTCAGAAAGTGTCTCTTCATTGCATTTCGGTAATTTTAAATCTTTCTTAAGCTGATTTCTATCCATTTGAAATGCTGGACATAAGAACAGAAGGTGCGCTGGTGATGCACAAACTAATGTATTTATGCTGCAGGAGTTACACCACTTAGAAACCTTTGAGAGTTGGATGAATTTTTTACTAAAGTGCCATGAATTTGTTCATGTATATATATTGAATATTGTACAGTGATGCTACATTATTAATGCTCTGCACTATTATATGACACTGTAAATAACTTGCCTTCTTTGGACCAGTGTCAGGGTCTTCCACACGGTGAAGTAGAGCAGGTCGGAGCACGTGATTAGAACGTGTCCGAAAATGTAGAAGAAGCAGCAAAACGCCAGCAAGCTTCAATAAGAGGATATATACACAGCATATCATCATCGCAGCAGTTATATATACTGTATATGCTGAACATCAACATTCACAATAGTCAATCATTATTCACATAGCAATGAGATACATTTATTTACATGTACTGCAGTATGTATAGTATATTCTCATCAGATCGATATACAGTATATAACTCACGGATAGCGTCCAGTGTACGACTCAGCAAGGTAGGAGAAGAATAAAGACAGGAAGATGCCACAAAACGAATAGACTGTCAGGAGTTGACTCGTCAACTTTGGCTCCATCTTCAGCTCTGTCACCAAGTAGGTCTTGAAAACAGCTGCAGCAGGCAGTGTGTATATTTAGCACGTGAGAAGAAAAAAACAAACGGGAAATTTCATCAGATGCACAGCATACAGCAGCAGCATTCACTAAGTTTATTGCATGCGCTGCAGTACATTAGAGAGAGAGAGAGATGGTAAAATATTGTCACAACAAAAAACAACAATTATTTCTGCTACAACAAAATGTTTATCAAGTCCTATACATTTATGTATATAGCTGCTTGATGGCATCAGCAGCTGCAGAACGCCCATATTCAACATAGAGTAAATGTCCAAACAATCTCATTATTATATAACAAGCATCAGCTTCCCAATTCCACTACATAACAAACTTTTTTGAAGCATCAGCAGCAACTGCTGGTTATATTTATTCTTATACTTACTTGGTGTGCAACCTGCTGGATGGAAACTGTGATTAATGACAAACATGTTGCTTCAATTGGTTCCTCATCCAGCATCAATAGTGCAGATATTTTCACATCATCCTCCGCAAATGAGGAGATCGGTGCAAAAAGCAGAATCTCTTTTTCTTTCTTTGTCTTCTTCTTCAGATTACTCAGCAAAGTACATTACTGCATAGTGTTCAAACAAATACCATAATGAAAAAATCTCAGAATGCCAGAAAGGCTACATCTTCATTGATTATATCGTAGTCATGCATCTGCAGGTCTCATGAAAAAAATCTTCCCGAGGTCATTAATTCTGAAAATCCCACTAAAACAAAGTATATTCCCGAAAGGTGTATTGTTATTGTTACAACGAGAATTTACTGCACTGCACAGCATACGTTATAGATGGGAACACTTTATATGAGCGGGGCAAAGTTCATAATTAATGTATACACTATACAGTACATAGTATAATTATGAGAAAGCTCGCTCATCCAGCAGCAGCATATACTGTACTCACTGTTCAAGGTCCAGCCCGACAAAGCACTCATGATGTCGTACGCGAGAATCAAGAAGACATGCCGAGGGTACTGCATGCAGGTATAAAGAACAACAATGCTGCATATTATATGTATATAGCAATCAATAACTTATTCGAATGAACAGGAAATACAGCAAGTATAACAGCTTGCAGCAAGCTCTTAAATAAATGAATGTACTGTATGTATATACTGTACATACATACAGTACAGTATATACCTTGAGGTCCTGTTTCTCTTTTTCCTCATCCTGGGGCGCAGGGTCTCCCTCGTCACCTTCAGTCCCAAGTTTCTCATCCTCTCCAGTTGAACCGGGCCCTTCCCCCTTTACTGCTGACGAAGGTTCATCTGCCATGTTTCTTATACAGCAGAGATGAGGAGGATTGCTATATTTATCACGTACGGATATTTAAACGTGGTATAATTGGTGAGTAATGAATGTGCCAGCCCCTAGAAGGTCATCATCATTGCTGGAATTTTGTGCAAAATTACAGACCCTCAGCATCATGGTGTCCTGTTGAAATTGCTGAGCAGCAGCAGATGAGTCATGAGGGATGAATGATTATCCTGTATACAGGACTGTATATTTTTTTATATATACAGTCCTGTATATATGAGGACTGTTAAAACCTGTTAACTTTTCAAAATTTTCTATAAAGCCTAACGGTACTTCATTACGGATACATCAGTCACTTTCTGGACAATTTGAAGGAGATACTGTATATGTAATTTAATACATACTGTACAGAGTACAGTGCTGACTATGCAAGTACAGCACTGTACACAGTACACTAATTCTAAAAATGGATATACAGAGGGTGAATCCAAAATAAGGTAAATCATTTTTTGAATTAAAATTGCTCAGCGGCAGTGACAAACCCCCCCCCCCCCAAACATGAAAGCTTGTTCAATTTCTGTTCAAATGATGTCATTTAGCTGTATATGGTCCCATCAAGCATATACTGGATGTATACATCCATTTATGGTCACAAAAACCATTTGAATGAATACTTTCAAGAACAAAAAAGGTGTCCGGCAACTTCTTTGATGATAAATAAGCTCATATTTTTCCAGAGCTGTGTTTCAATATGAGATGCTTTATGGCCTGTGACCCCTTTGAAAATATGCTATAAGACGCTTATACAGAAAAAGGAATGCCATTTGAAAAGGGGGAATTGTTGTTCCAAGCTCTGTAGAATTAGAATCTTTTAAAATTTCCATCTAAGAGCTCGGAAAATTAAGAGTTTTTCAGCATGAATGAAAAAGAAGCATAATAAGTAACCAGAAAGAACAAAATGTCGAAAGGCAAACATATTTTTAAAAACTTTGGAGGCCACTATCAAAATAGGCACTATACTGCTGCCAAAAAATGTTTCTTCCCACTACTGCTGCTACTAGCAATACAGTGGTGGTGAAATACCAGACTGGGTTTCATGTCTGAATACCCTGTATTACATTGCACAGTTTATTGATGCATACCCAGCAGGAATATGAAAGGCTTTCCCCAGAAAACAAGCAATGTCATTCTTTTTCTCAGTCCAGTCGATGACATCATATGGAATAATGGGCTATATACACATACGAAGTCCAGAAAAAACAATTAATTACAAAATATATGTGCGTGTACAATACGTACGTACGTAGTCGCAATCGAAAAAAAAGGTATACAGTCGCTCATCCCACCAAAATGATACTGTTCATTGATCAACAATGTAAGAGAATACGATACGAATAAGACAGCAGAAGACTTATTCGAAATTAGCCAACTTAATTATTCGAAGCACTATACTGTACAGCATTACGCGGTCTTGGGGACAGCCGAGGAAGGGCCTAGGTCGGCATTAGTCAGTTGTTTGGTAGCCTCGTGCGCAGCGATGGACTTCCTGTAAGAAGACCTGGATCGCAACGAGGTATCAAATCCCGTCAGTCTGCTAGCTCTAGTCAACGATCCACGTTCTTCCGAGTCTTTCGGTTCATCACGAGACGCCGCAGCGTTCTCCGCAGCAGTCTCTTTCGCCAAGTACCACTTGGACAGAAAACCAAGCAGGATCGTGTCCAACGTCAACAGGATGGTGTAAAACAAGAATTCTTGCCACTTTTGAAGCGTCGAGCGAAAAACGGAGACGAAGAACAAAGTTAGTCAACCACATCAATACATAGACGAGTGGTGTAAATATTATAATGTACTGTACTGTTTGTAGCAAACATGATTCACAAGCACAGATGAAATAAATTAGAGAAGTAAAGTACTGATGACGTCACGTGTAAAAATGCTTTTCAGGGACTAACTGGGTGCCTAACACCTCAAAACTCACGAATCCAACTTCACAATATGAATAATGTATGCCTGCTGTAAACATAAACTGTCTATTAGTGCTTGTGTTCAACATACAGTGATTACGGAAGTACCAGCACGCAGCCTCAAATATGGCACGCACAATGACTGTTTATCCATCCAAGTTTTTTGTGAACAATAAGATACGTTCAAATAAAAAGCATATACTGTACACATTGAGATGAACAGTTCAAAATATGAAGAAAAAAAAACCAAATAATGTACTGTATGTATATGACAAATTATTTTTCTTGACAAGCCTTAAAATCCATATACTGTACTGTACTTGCAGCAATTCTAAATTTTCGCCTGAAAAGTGGTCTCGCGATGAGAGTGGATAATTTAGGGATGAATCCTGAATGGATAATTTAAACGCACCAGATACGGAATAAAAGTGTCAGTCACGGCCGCAGAAAGAAAATTCATTGGATGGTTGCTTTGACTAATGAGAGATAAAGACACACCCATCATGTTTGCCGGTACCTATACGAAAAATGCTGAAACTTTGAAAACGTCACATATACAGTACAAGCAAAGACATGAATCGTACCTCATTAATATAGAATATTGTAATGGTTGGAAAAGTCAGGACCTCCGAAACGGTCAATATGAACAACGGTATAAGCATCCAGAGCAAATGAACTTCCGCAGGTTTCACCTGAGTCGTCACTCGGGCTGGCTGCAGAATCGTAATCAGGATTAATAAAGGGGACGAAGAAGAAAAAAAATACAGCCTCCGAAATATTTTCTTTCGGATTTACCTCATCACCCCCAGACAGTAAAATCAAGTAGACGCCTCCTGCATCGAACCATTCTTTCCCGGCTGGTTTTCCATCCACCTTAATCTCATACCTTTTGAAAGCACACAAATCCGGAGAAGAGCATCGAAATTATATATAGTACTGTACTGCACACACTGCGTGGGTAACGGAATGCAGCAATGCACAGTACAGCAATAAAGTATATACACACGTGCCAACAGGAATCTTTTGCAAATACTCGCTCGCCCCAACTCCACCAGCAGGAAGCTTCAAGACCTTAACTTCCTTGTCTTTCCGAGAGAGCTCAACCTTTTTCCCGGCGTCAGGAGACAGTGCCACTGCCCTTTCAAACGAGGGAGGAGAAAAGATAGTCAAGAGACAAGGACAAAAGAGACGTGGGGGCCCACGTAGTTGAGCTGCAACAGCAGGGGCAAACCTGATCATTGGGCGGTTCGTCAAGTTGACGCCATACGCATCCGGTTCGGGAAACATCTTGACGGACGGCGCAGCAGCCGCAGATCCCCAGACAATTCCAGTGAAAGCCTGGTGGAGACCGACGGCGAAGGGGCCGAGTCAATTTATTCTTTTACTGTACGGGGTTAATCGACGACTCACAGATCCTCCGTCCGCCGTCACAGAGGCGAGCGCGGGGACGCCAGACGGCTGACTGGAGAGAACGTACGTCTTGCCGTGTTCCAGGGTGTCCCAGGTGGCCATTCCACCTGGAGGCACGGTCTTCTTCAGCGACGGCACACCTGGCCCAGTGAGGTACACATCCACAGACTGGCCTTCGATCCCCCCCAGGAGCTGAACAGCGCTCTGCGACGAAGACAACCTCGGCATTGGATTCCGAGTCTGCGAATACACAGAGGAGACGAGACGAGATATGGGTGTGAGCGAGCAATTCTTAGCAAAGAGCGCACTGCCGTATACAGCACAGTATGTACACGCTAAAAGGCCACATCCTGCACTCACTTCTACTAAGTAAGCGATGACGTCGACGAAAAGGTATGTTATAATCATCAACACGAACCCAAACATGACCTTGTGGAGGTATCTGGGAAGGATTCTTTTTCTACGCATCCATGGAAAAATGATTTTGATCGCAGTGGGAACCATGACAAACGTCAGCAACGGGTTGTACCACTGCAACTCGTCTGCCTTGAGAGCATAGTCGAAGAGCGGTAAATATCCGTTCATCCTGTATTGCATATCCAGCCACCTTGAAGTCTAGATAGTATTCTACTTAGAAGTCGTCCGGTTGCCGTACAGTATATACATTCGGTGATGATATGAACACCACGCAGAGGTCAAGTCTTACGTGCAAACCATAAATCGAGTCGTAGACTGACAAGGGTAGCAAGAGGACCATGACATTCAGCAAATGTTTTATGACATCGACCATCTCCTTCGAATGCCCGCTGTCTTGTGCATAGTCCATCCAATGGGTATAATCCGGGTTCCTCCGGTGCGTTAGACAATTCTTCACACCGAACTAAAATTCAAGTGCCAAATCAACGCTCTTCTTAGAATACAACACATTCCAGGTACAGTACTGTACACATTTTACGTCTCCTTATGAAATGTACAATTGAACTGGTCAGCACTCTACTCACAAAGAGGCACGAAAGCGCTCTTCCCGTAACATTCCCTACAGGCGGGGCCTTGTAGAACCACGGCGACGCGGCGATAAAAATGACTGAAAAAGATATCGGGCAATTTGAAAAGATGTACGGAAAAATTGGAAGATGACAAGTATTCGTAGAACCACACCAGCAACAATGGCAGCAGTCACACCAGCAAAGCCCAGTACGATAGAATAACAGTCTTCTCTTCCGAAACAAGGAATATTCCTCATCATCGGTGCCACAATCGACATAGCGAACACAGCGACGTTCATAACAGTGTAATTCCAATAAAAGTAGTTGTCTTTCTCGACTTCCTGTTCTGGCAACTTGAACTGCTCGGCCGAAAAAGCAGTTTTGCAAGAACCCTCGGCAATTCCGAAAATTGCGAATATGTGCATCCCAATATAGGCCAGAATTCTGCGTTAATACAACAAATACCAAGCATTAGAAAACTTGTACTACAAATCCCGTTCATATATCTCGAAAAAATAAATGCACTGTTCGTACAATACTGCATGAAAGCGTGCCTCTCCACGTGCAGAGAGAAGCACAGCATTCACTGTGACTGAATATCACGATTAGTCACGAAGCTAACCACTGGATGAGGTATACAAGCTTCGCACGTTCATTTATCAAATGTTTCTCAGTTTTAAAAGTTGATTCGGCATTCACTCACGCAGGTCCTATCTTAGGCTGATCCGAAGTGCTAGCATATAGAATACTGCACGATGAACAGTGGATTTACGGCCCGTTCCATTCTTCAAATCTTCGTTACAGTAATAGGGTACGATGGGCACGGAAAATAATGATACGATACTTGCATTCTTGTCAGGAGACTCATTTCAGGAAAGGCCACAATTGGAAGCAAGTCGGATCCCGCCATGAAAATGTGCCCGAAAATGTAACACACAAGGGAACACAGGATAATCCTGACAACAATCAGACATCCACATCATCTCTGTATCAACAGCACATCATTCGCACGGTCAAAACACGATACTCACGGGTATCGTCCAGTCCAAGACTCTGAAATATACGCCCAAACGAAACTCAGCATTATGAAGAACGGTCTTCTCGCTTGCGAGAACCTCGTTACAAACCCCGGCTCCAGCTGCAGTTCAGTTACAAAATAGGTGTGTGACACAGCTGAATTACAAGAAATTCGGGCATTATTTCAATGTACTGTACTTTCAAAAGAAGGAAATAGGGAGACTGAAGAGAAAACTCACTGCCTAAGGCCCTATTAGACAGCACTTCCGTTATCGAGAACGCGAAAATTGATCCGATGGCAACATACGGATACTGAAAAGAGGAAGAAACGCAGGTTTCACGAAGAAAGAAACAAGTGTTATAAATAACCTAAAATGCGCACGTACGGGTATCTTCTCTTTCTGGTCCTTGTCCCCTTCAGGACCTGGCGACGATGAGGCTTCATCATCATCAAAGTCCCTTTTCTCCACGTCTTTCTCCTTTTTAGTTTGTTCGTCATCGGCCATCCCGTTCTCGGCAGGTGAATTCCACAAGTTTATTCCTACGATGATTTATCCGACGAGAAATTCATTCCTCAAGAGAATTCCTTCATCTCACTTTGCAATGAAATAATACAAAATATAAGAGGAATAATACGGAGTCGCCCAACAATATCTTTAGAGCAGTACTGATGCACACGTCCATGTTTCCCCGCGGAATACCATCCGACATCGAAACAGGAAATCAATGCACAGTGAAGGCCTACAATGTTTCTAATTGAAGCAGTTCGCAGAAAACGGATTCAAAAGAGCCAAACTGCCACCGGGAATATAAATGGCTCAGAAAAAACGGAGGATTTTTGCCGGTCCAAAGAAGAATTTCTCCATTTCAAAGATAATCGCATAATTTATAATGAGAGTCATTAATTTTCGAAACGTTAGAAATACAGTATCCTTAATCCTACCCTTGAATACTATTCAATCTTAAAAGCATTTGAGAAAACTGATACTGCACTGGTGTCTACTTGAATACAATCATTCCAGCTCGCAACTCAATCGAAAACTGTAGATATCTTTTCAAGAATAGGTTTTTTGCATGAGCAGCATATTCACGACTTACACAATGTGAACATTATACAATTTTTTTTTTGGAATCATCGAAACTTCTATTACAGTCTACAGGAACAATAAAAGATAAGTGGAGCATTAACACTATAGTACAGGCTTTGCCATTTTTAAATAATCTTTGTGAGATAATTTTGAGGCCTGAATAATTATTTACTCGCCAGCTTATCGACACGATGGACAATTAAATTTTCGGCATACAAATAAGTACGCTGATATCTTTCAAAGAACATTTTCATCACCACTAAGCATTCGAGCTCAGAATCAAATTATACATCAGCCCACGTTCTCTCCCTGCTTGGATTTTGCCTCCCCACAATCCTCATCTTCCCGGTCTTTTTCATCATCCGTCGTGATAATGCAACAAACAGTGTCAGAATCTTTCGAAAGGGGAAATACAGTGACTTCCGGTCCAGGTTTCAGCAGTTCTTCGGCGTCAATGCCCAGGTCTTTATTTATCTTCTCTTTGAGAAACGAGTCCCAGCAACCAGGCCCGGTGGACCCACTGCAAAGCAATCTGGCAGCAGTGTCTTCTGGAGCTGGACAGGTGGGGCACTTGGGCCCCTCAGGTGAGCAGGGAACCTAAGAAAAATACAATGCAAACTAGAACTTGCGAATCGATGCTGCGTGTTTGTTCAAGTCGATTTCTACATTGATCCGCTCTCTTTTTGACCGCATAAATTTATTTACCGTATTTTCTTTATTTTAGCCCCACAGAGCAGGCAGTCTTACAGCGTTTTTGAAGAAACGGTCGTTGGTCAAGTCTCACCTCTTCTACGCAGACGATGTCAATGAGCGTCTCTCTGACGGGGCAACAAACTTCTTCCTCTGGTTCCTCAGGCGGGGCACACGTGCTCTCACTCGAACATGACTCTTCGCAGCACAACTCCATCTGATACTGCTTCGGTTCGTCATCGGCGTCTTTCCACAAATCCATGGGATTAATGACCATCGGCTCATCAATCTTGGCACGCAACAACGTGTCCCAGCAGCAAATGTTGTCGCACTTGCTCTCAGAGGGTGTTGGCGTCTTTTCGCTCGGAGTGTAGAATTCCGGTTGCAACGGACAATCGAAGTCCGACAATGGCGACTCGCAATACTCTCCAGGACGGGTCTTGGACGCGTCCAAAGCTTCACACGGCGGAGGTTTAATGACGGGACACGGTGGCGGTGCACACGGGTCTCCAACCTGGAAAATTTGTAACACATGTACAGCACGGTATATGTTTCTCCAGGCTATCGAGAAATTCAAGAATCAACAGACTGGACTTTTCCAAAAGCTGTCTTCTTCGTCTTCGCTACAAACGGATTCTTCCTTTTCCTTTTCCTTGCACACGTACTGGATGCACTTGTAGACGCCGTCCTTGTTGAGAACACAGGACAACACAAGGTCTTCTTCTTTTCCCGGTTCCGGGGCGCAAACGAGACTCTTCGCTTCTTCTTCTACATTCTTTATTTGCGCCTTGGGGAAAATGATCGTCGCTCACACAAATGAAGCGAGGCAATAAGAGAAAAATGTAAGGGACGAAAAGTACTGCGTTACTTGTTTTTCGTTCTTCGCTTCAGCCTTCTCGCCTTCTAAAGAGTCTTTCCCTTCATTTTCTGTGGATCGTTGAATGACTCTGGTTAGCTGCTTGGTGGTGCAGTCGAAACACTTGGTTTCCTCGACAGTCTTGTCTTCCTTGGTCTCGTTTTCCTTTCTGTACTTCTTTACGACTTCATCCACGTTCTTCGTATCCTTGTCGGTGACAGACAAGTTTTCCACTCCCTGAGCAACGATCGTGGCACTGTACATGAGGTCATACTTGGGCTTCGGCATCGCTTCGCACGGCTCCACGCAACAATACGGGATTTTACCAGACGCCGGAAACTGGCATTTGATGGAGGGGCATTTCTCTTTGGAAACGCTCGCAGGCTTTTCGAGTTCTTCGAGCAAGATTTGGCGACAGGTTTTCGGCGGGTCTAGCGTTTGTTCTTTATCGTCTGCGGTACACGGGTTGCAGAGCTGATTCTTCTTTCTAACTTCTTCCGCATCACATGGCTTTCCGCTCGGAGGCATTTTCGCAACTGGTGGAGCTGTAAGTGTACAAGTAAACTGGAGTAAGAAAGAATAATGAAGGTTTCTTGAATGTTCCCACCTGCACTTGCACCAAGAGGAACCGCACGACCATCCTGCTTAAACGAACAATCTTAAATGCTACAGATCGGTTAGGTACATGCAGTCAATAACGCTAGAATAATAATAAACCCAAGGGCTGCAGGAACTTTAAAAAATTTTTCTTTATAGAACCATCAGCAGTTCGGGAGCAGCACTGCCTCAATCCAATTCACGGAAATGAATACGAACGGTGGATTTCGCGGTGTAATTTCGTTTCCACAACGGCCCCAAAGATTTTCCAGGCCCAACGTCGTACACGTCAGCTTCATCACTAAGTGTGTCAATCAAAGCTTTCAAGATCATGGACCATTGGACTGGTTTGGTCAAGTGCAGGACCAAGTTGCGACGAATCTCTTCCGGGTTTGCAACGTCATGTGGTGATCCGGTGACGTTCGAGTAAACCAAGGGGCAATCAGGATTGAAGTCGAGCAAAGCAACAGCTTCAGCAAATACAGATGTCGCAGACTCCATGTATGGGGTGTGGAAGGCGCCTGGAAAAATGCATCCAATTTCATGATTAATCAAGTAACGAAAAAAATTAACTCCAAGGACAAATGTCCACCGAACACGTAGTTGGGGAGTTTTCTGTATTTCCAAATAATCACCTGCAACTTGCAAAAATTTCACGCTCTTCAATTTCAAGGCCCCGCTTTCAGCTTGCATCTTTTTCAAAACTGACAAGGGTCCTCCAAAAATTTTTCCTCCGCGGAATATTTCATGAGCAACATGGATCTTCGTATTCTCGGTGGCATTTTTGTTGATGAGTTCCATGGCATTTAGGAGATCTTCGTCACGTCTGGCAGAAACAACAGCTAGTCCTACACGGAGACAAAATACATTTTCTGTTAAAAAAACACACACACACAAAAAGATTGGATAATGTTCCCTTCCTTTATTCCGCACCCACCAGTGGGCTCATGACTCGCTTGACACGCCAGTCTCATCGCCTGTCCTCTGGCGGAAACCAGTTTCACGGCATCGATAAAAGTGATAGTTCCGCCAGCGGCAAGCGCACTTATTTCACCAACACTGAAGCCAGCCATTGTAGTGTCCAGCCCCCAGTTTGTTTCAGCACGAAGAAGCGAGTGCCTCAGTCGTTCAGTGTTTAGAAAAGAGCACACGAAAACAGCAGCTTGGCAATGGGCCTGCGAAAGACAAACACAAGGGGGAGGGGGGGGGGGGGGGGGAAAGCAACGGTCAGCCGCTCAACGATTCGCCCATCGAATATTCAAATGAGTGCCCAAAAGCTAACCATGCCCGCTGGTTTCTCCGTAAGTCTCGTGCTTCCCTTGTTTGTGTCTTTTTGAAAGAGAGTAATCTCTGATCATTTCCTGCTTAATGTTACAAACGTCGGAATTGAGAGAAGACAGAGTTGCAAGTGCCGAAGGCCTGATGGTTCACAGTATTGGGCTAGTAAAATGGTCCATTTAAAATTAAAAAAATATTTCAAGTGATTCAATTCTTTCTCCAAAGGCCCAACAAATTTTAATTGGTGAGCAATAAGTCGTAGTCGGATCAGAAATAGTCAAGGCTGCGATTGAAGAAAAGGGAACACATACATACGCGTGCCTCGAATATTTTTCTTGATTCTGCCGAGGTTTGAAGGATTCTGTTTTAGAAACTTGGGTACCTAACGAGCTTAAGTTCGCAAAAAAGACCAGAACTAGAGTGTTGGCCCATAGATGCTATACAGTATCTGAAGTCGGAACTTACAGCATCGTCTAAAGCACTCGCGGGTCCTTCAACGCACATCTTTTGCAGATCGTAGCCCAGAATGGAACTGGCTTCCTGAAACCTGGCTTCTGCAGTTCGTCCATAATCAGCACACCTCAAGGACTGCAGTCCCATGCCGACAAACTGCGTGGCCTGTCCAGGAAACAGCAACACCAATCTTCGCTTCGAAAACGCACTCACGAATCGCCGCATCACTTCACTCGAGCCTTTTCTCCAAAAAGAAAACTGCAAGGAGAAATGCGGAGGCAGAATCAAACTATTTCGGCGACTGCAAAAAGAGAAGCTTTCGCCTTGTTTTCTTCTACAAGGAACCGGCAAAGGAACAGTAACTTTTCCTTTCTTTTTTTTTCCTCCAGGTTTTTCACGTTTTCCCAATCATCATAATCATCATCATTCCAACGTCCCCCTCTTCCCTTCGTCATCTTGCAAATCCCCAACGTTTTTCTTTTAATTCGCGCTTGAACAGACAAAAAATGTAGGATCAGAAATAGAGGCGAAAAAAGAGAAAACAAGCCGAAACGTATAACACACACGCACACACGACGAGGAAGGAAAAAAGGAAACAACAAAGTAATGTGTGCCCATTTTGTGTATGTGTGAAACACTCATCCAAGCATAAATGAGAGCATTGGTCATCTCGTCATTCATCCGAAAAAAAAAAGAGAACCAGTTTCACTATTACGTGGATGCCAAACACCAGCCAAATGGTCTGTCTCAACTTCCAAGCGGGGCCAAGGAACACAATCTGTTCACAGAGTGCAATTGGGCAGCCCCATCGTCCTTCCGAGACAGTGGTTAAAACGATTCCGGTTGAAACCCTCCCGAGGTCTGTCTCGAATGCACGAGCGAGGCCGTAGGAGCCAACATAAGAAGGTATACTTCCCCATCCCCCACCTTTTCTTCATCCCTGTCCTGCCCAAAAAATTCGCGAACAAAGCACCAGTCGAAGTAACAAACAATACAGCTCCTTAACAGCGATTTTCTTTCCCCACGAGGATCACTAAAGGCCTTCCTTCTCTGTCACAGCAGCGGCGATGCTCAGGAAAACGAAAGCTAAACGCTTTGCCAACCCCCCACCCCGTCAAGTCCAACAATTGTAACTTTAGCCAGAAACAGAAAACAACTGACGGAATAAGGGAAGTTTTCAAGCCCGGCGATCAACTCAAAGCCAAGAGAAACAAAACGAAAAGAAACTCGGTTCAGATGAAGATCTTTTGCTCTTCCAGGGGTACGAGTCGAGTTTATCCGCAAATCTCCATCATGCTGGAAGTAAGTCTCCACTCGACTGAAGCTTGAACATTGAACATTAGTATCCAGCAAAAGCGAGACGACATACTTTCCTTCTTTTCCTACGAATACCCCATGGGAAGAGCAGGAAGAGTCAGAGCTGACAATCTAGCCACGGGAAAATATATACACACAAATATGCATATGAGGATCACAAGCACACACGATACCCTTTCGCGCTTTCCATAAATGAAGCTAGGGAACGGAGAGTAGAAAATCATAACTTATTTTTCCCACCGAGCCAAGTTCACTCTTCATCATTTCCCTCCTGACTAGACTCGTCTCCACAAAAAAAAAAAGTCCGACCGAACGGAACAAAAAACTATCTTTTCCGGACACAAAAATGGCGCTCTCTAGGCTTCACCTCGCGGAACGGACGACAATCACACATCGTTGAAGGTACCGGTCGTTCCTCCAACAAAAACCAGAGACTATTCTTTTCCGGGACGATGGTAACACTCGACAACCAATGACCTGTTCGCCGATTACATTGCCACTGCATTATTAAAACTTACAACGCCTCTACGTTTCTTTTTCTTGTTTCCTTCATGGCTCAACGTGGTGCAGTACCTACTCTCATACGCATCAAGAGCTTCGTTTACAAAAACGGTACCTCGAACTGCAAGGAATATGCAAACAGGAGATTGATGGAGTGTTGCCGACACCCCCGTTTTGTAATATACATGACTGCACTTTTTTTCGCACTGTAAGTTCACCGCAAGTATTTAAAAACAAAATGCCCTCTGGGCTCGACCTGTCCCTTCATCACACTCATGCAACAATGAACAGCAAGTAAAGACCAGCAATCAATTAACTTCCAACAAAAAAAAAGAAAAAACAAACGAACAAGAAACATCTAGCAGCAGTATAGTAGTTATTTTTTAGTAGTCGTGAATGGTGCTCTCTTTCTCCTCCAAGTAGTTGGAACAAAAGCCTTCTTCGACGAAACGCTCCATCCTCTCAATTTTTGAGCAACGCTCTTCCTCATTCCAAAACTTAAAGGTAGGTTCGCAATATTTCCTTTTTTCGAAACACCTCGAAGAATTCTACGGGAAACTAACCCAATCGCTGACACGGATTAAAAAAAATTGTTCCAGACATTATCTCAGTAGAACACGGAAGAAATCTTTGGCATACAAAATTCCAGCCAGAAAAAAAATCAAATCCAAGGCATCTTGATTCAGAGCCACAAAATTATCTGCGAACCGAGACGAGCGGCGAAGAGCAACTTTTGAACCAACTCTTGATAATTCGACGTATTCTGCCAAACTTCAACTTCATGCACCAAACGAAAAAAAAACCCAGAAAACACCAAAAATCTTCCCCAAGAGCAAATTAGTATCAGGTGCAGAGAGCACAGCAGAAAAAAAAAGAAGAAAAAAATGCAAGTGCCAACTTGAAAAGAAAAAAGATCCCGACATATAAGTTAGGGGATCATATTGTCTTCCTTCTTTCTTTGCCATCACATTTCCTCCCATCCAACTTCCTGCTAAAACACACCGGTTTCTTGGAGGGAGTCAAACCAAATAGTATCGTTTCTAACCCAACACAATGGGGATACGATTACGAAAAAAAAATCTTTTTTAGAGGATGCTTGAGACAAATGAATCAATGCAGAGACAAGCAAGGTCATTTCTGACAACCAGAAACTTCCAAAGAAGAATGAATGCTCCAACCGCTCAGCCCAGGGAAAAGATTTTCGCATGTCCCATATTGACACAGACGCACGCAGGAGTGCGACGTACAATACAGTACATTACAGTAATTCCTATTATCGCCCCACAATGTTCTTGCCTCCCCTCGCGAGTTCCCATTGAAAGATCTGGGTAGAAATAAATGACCTTGCCTGTTGGCGAGTTCTACTCGAAACGTACCAAGCGGAAGCGGAACACAACAACGGAAAGTCCCATGCCAATCGTCAGGTGGGTGCAAGAAGGGGGAAATCAAAGGCACTCGGGGTGTGGCGGCGTCGACGGCTCAGTTCTTCCATATTTTTTTTCTGAAGGACTGGTAGTTGCAGAGGTGGCTGTAGTGGTACGAGTTTGGTCTATTTTTTTTCTCTCCTGCAGCTGCCAATGGCGCTACTGGCCAAAGGAAGGGACAAACTTGAACGGGATCTCACTGAAACCCATCCGGAACAGACGTTTATGTTAGGCACTCTATTCCGCATGCTGTGTTACAACGAATATACAGAGAGACACATGTTTCCTCCAATTCTCTGGAAAACACACTCTCCCGACAACCAGTCATTAAAACTCTCCTTACACGGAAAATTATTTCTTCCATTGGCAAACAACAAGATGAGCTTTCAAAGCATCTAAAATGACAAAGAAGGAAGAAAAACCGTACAGGATTAAATTTTAGAACCTAATTTATACAGGGAGTCTATCTCCACTGCAGTTGCAATTTAGACGACCGACATGTGCTTAAATTGTCGGGATTCCGAACTTATTTGATGTTTCGAGGCGCGAACTCAGCACGGCCAAGAAGAAAAACATACCGTGTGAACCGAATAGAAGTCAAAAACTGTTCCGCGATGCCGCAATTACGAATAGCCAATAAGACCCCAGGGTTAGGTTTACTTTTTTTTGTCCGTCTTGAAGGACACTTGCAGCGTTCGCTGGCCAAGGTTGTAACCGTTCAGATTCTGGATAGCCATCAGCGCTTCCTCGTACTTGGCCATATTTACGAAACCGTAACCCTTGCACTGCTTCGTTTCCGGGTCGCGAATCACCTGCACTCAAACACAACCAAGCGATTAATTTCCTCCACAGTCAGAATCCAGCATTTATCCGTCCACTACCCTTGTTCTCCAGGAAAATACCATATTCGCGCAAATAATATGCGTAGCACGTCTGTGCACATGAAAGCATGTTAGTCTAACATGCTTTCACAAGTACGCACCTAACATCCGCTAGTTCAATGTCGGTTAAACGAAGATTAACAGCGCTGCTTCCGTACTTAATAGATCGCTAATGCGAAACCCACAGCTTGTGAAGTTTAAGAAAACGTGACTCACTCGTCTGGAAAGTGTAATCAACTACCCATAAAAGATGCGAAAAAGAATACTTTCACCCATCTCTTGATCTCTGATAAAACCAGCAAATCACCCCTGAGTTGCTTTACTGTAATTTAAAATAAATATGAGAGTTTATACAGTATTGTGGCCAGCTGGAACAGTTGAAGATTAACTCGCAGGTTCAGTCACGTGGATATCTATGTCAAGCAGCCAATTGCATATCACACTCAGTTGCTCACTCAGATCCCAGAAGTGAATCATTCCAACAGTCTGTCATATGTCATAAACCCAAATTATCCGGAATACCTAGCATCACCACTACAAAGCTCTGACGGTACTTTAGGAATATCTGCTCACCTTCACAGACTGGACAGCCCCGAAGGGTCCAAACAACTGCCACAAGACACTCTCATCTGCGTCGGGCGCCAGGTTGTACACGAAGATCACGAACCCGTTGAGCGGGGTCGAGGCTGGCGGAGCAGGACCAGGACCGCCAGTCGGCCCAGACCCAAACCGCGCCATGCCACCGAGCATCTGTTTGCCAGATGCGGCGGCGGCCGCAGCTGCTGCAGCCGCAGCGGGTTGCAGCGGGCCAGGTAAGTTGTACCGAAACGGAGGTCCGCCAGCGCCGGTGGGTCCCGTGTGATGCATGGCCCCGGTTGCAAACTGCATCGGGTTCCCGTACACACCCGACGCCGCTGCAGCCTGCGCCATGGCGTTCTTCGACGCGTCCGGCTTGTTGGCGAATTTCACTTGAATCGGGTCCGAGCAACCTACAGCAGAAACTCGTTAATCTACTGTGCTTTTTCAAAAACCACACACATTGTTACAATAAAGCTCACTGTCAGGAATTTTGCCGTTCATCGCCGCCACGGCTGTCTCCGCTTCGCCACGCTGATCATAGCGGACAAAGGCTACACCCTTGGGTATCCCAGTGACCTTGTCACACAGCACTCGCGAGGTGATGATCTTGCCGAAGTGCGAGAATGTGCACTCAAGATCTTTTTGTGTCCAAGATTTCGGGATCCCAGTGATGTACAGATTCGTGCCTTGGATCGTATCACTGCTGGGCCTTGCATAGGATACTCGAATGATCTTGTTATCCAAATGATAGGCGTTCAGCGACTCGATCGCTTTTTTTGCGTCTTCCGTCTGGGTGAATGAACGGGGGAAAAATATGCTTCGATTCGCACATTCCCAGCGAGCGCTGTTCGAGTCTCACCTTGACGTAGTCGACGAAACCGTACCCCAGACTTTGGCCGGACACTTTGTCATGGATCAGCTTGCAGGTCTTGATTTCCCCCATGGCTGCGAAAAGATTTCGCATGTCGTCCTGAGTCATGTTTTGCGGAAGGTAGTTGACGATCAGGTTTGTTCGACCGTCGCCGCCGCCGTCCCCAGGCATACCCATTTTGTCATCGTGGTTCCCGGGTCCAAAGTGGTTCCCGTCACCCATGTACATCCTGCCGTCACGACTCGGATACCACTCCAGCTTCGAATCGGTCGGCGAGTCGGACGAGCCAACTCTAGTTTTCAGATTTCAAACACAAAATAGTCCCCAAACAGAGACCGAAACGTAATATTTCGAGTAGGCGCTAGCAGATTGGTACGGAACGCAACTCGAGAAAGAGTGTCGGTGGACAGCAAAGGCGCAAAATGAAAGGAGGAGAACGGAAATCGGAAAAAAGAGAAACGAAAAAAAATTGAAACAAGTTTTAGATGGTTTGAGACCCGATTGACCAGTCTGGTATCTGGGTCTCCGCTAGCGCACAAGTGAAGAAATCTGCGAAGAAAACAGAGCAATAAAGATTGGTCATCGCTTGATGCTTGGGAGGCACGCTCAAATTGAGTGACATATGTTCCGCGCATAATTGAGCACTAGTCGAAGCGAGAACCGGCAACGGCCAACACGCCGATTTAATTCATACAGAGATTCAAACTTTCCAGAATCGAGGAGCTAACCCAGCTTAAGAACATCAAACGGGTTCCGATTTCACTCTAATCTCTTCACTAGAAGAGACCGAAAGTGATCTCCACGTCGGGGAAATCCGTCGCGTGGAATAATCCCGATACACCTCTGTTGGGGGAGGTGTCGGTGCTTTTGGTTTCGTATCCCACAGAGCTTGGAGGAAAAATTCCCCATAAGGTAAAACTTCATGTTGCTATATGAGCACTATTTCTGAAATCATTGTGCCAAATACAGTAACCTGAGCCTGGAATAAATATTCTTTAAAGAGTTATTATCGGATTTCATGTTTAGGCCTGAAGTTTGTGGTCTTACTTGGGTTAATGTATGTAGAATAAATTCAATCATATGTTGCTACCTTGAACGAATTATGACTAAGATTAAACTTTGCTCAACCATTGTTTAGTCCTGAACGGGATTTTCAAGGATTGACAAGATAATTTTCGTCCTCGCGGAGGGTATGTTATGCACTGTACTTCACTGTAATGCATTATCTAGTTGGGTAGTGTAGCTTCTCGAGCTCACGCCAGCATAACTCCAAGTTCAATAGAAATACTGGAAAGCTCTGTGTTATGACACGCGTTCCTTTCGCCATGGAGGCTTACTAACCTCAACTTCTGCTTAAGCAGTCGAAAATTTCCGGGTAACGCGTCTCGAAAGTTGTCGTTGACGTCGAACTGTTGGTACGATTTGTGTGTATCACCGCCCCTGAGGAGAGAAAAGTTAGGTTAACTGCTGAATACGTGTCGCGAAACTCTGAGTGCCCATTCTTAGTGTATCACTGAAACTTGTTTTACATTTCAATAATCCAGGCTTGAATTGTTAATAATTTGTCGCGCGAATGTGTCACTGAATTCGTGAGTAATATTCATTATCGCGCTGGAGTTCAGAAGCCTAATGGATCAGAAAGTTCAGGTAAGTTTTGAAGCGAAGCTCTGTACAGTATTTTCGCTGGATAACATGGATAGTAATTTTTTTTGCAGAGTCTTTTCGGATCCGGTTTCACTGCCGAGGAGCTCGATCTCACTTCAGATTTGCTGCCTATCGCCGAATATGTTGAAGATCGCTCAAAAATGATAGATCAAATGTTATCGTCAATCCGAGTGCCGCTGTTGCGTTCTCTTCTTCCGTCCTATTTACGGGATACTCCTATCGATGAATTGAAGGAGATTTTGTTGCACGAGCTTTCTTCAATTCCTAGGAAGGATGTTCTTGAAGTTTTGAGTGGTACGATACAAATCCTCCAAGTATCAATATGTGTTTCCAAAATCTTTTTTTTCTCGACAGATGGCTCATGTTATGTACCTTTTTGCGAAGCCGTTAAACAACTAGAACTCAGCGTCACCCGGAAATTGGAAATCGTGCCTAGTAAACCGTTGCTGAAAGAAGCTCCTCGTCCAGTTCCCCCGCCTCTTTCGACGGAACCTATATTTTCGGATCAGGAAGAACCGCAGACTTCTACCATGTCTAGTAAAGACAAAGAAGCTATTTTTCCCGACGCTTTCCCAGACGAAACGATGTTCTCAGAAGACATTACTATCGATGCTAGTCTCGAACAGGCACCTGATATGTACGATGATACAGCTGTCTACGGAGATATCGACAGTAAGCCGGAAATTAATGAGGACGATTCCATCGCTGATAACTTCGAACGGCGGAACGTCGAAGGCAGAGTCTTCAGAGGTCGCCTTGGAAATGAAGACGAAGTTCTTGAAGAGGAAGAGCCGGAAGAAGCAGCGGAAGACACATTGGAAGAAGCCACCGAAATGCGTAAATGTAAGAAGAATAAGCGAAAAAAGAGCCGGAAGAAACGTAAAGAGACGTATTCGTCGTCTCCATCTCCAGTTCGGGCCGCAGTAGAGCCTGAACCGGAACCAAAGGTCGAACCCGAGCCGGAGATGAACCCAGGTTCCGAAGAGGGTGAGTTGGAAACCGACGAGGAGTTGGAATCACTCGTGGAATTGCGACAACGTGAAGAAGCCGAAAGAATTCGGCGCGAGAAGCAACTCGAAATGATGCGCAGAATCGCGCCGGACGAATATTACCGCTTGAAGACGGCCATGGAGCCCTCCAGCGACGAGGATGCTCGCAGCGTGAGCAGCACCGAGAACGACGTATCAATGCCTTGGAATAGACCCGAGTACGGAAGAAGCGAGCGGACCCTAAGTCGCCGGGAACCGCTTGTTCATCGCCCGGTCAACCCCATTGAATTGACCAACCCCGTACCTGACCACCCGGCATACCAGTTCACAGCCGCGTTTCGAATGCAGTCACAGGTGTTTTATTGTTTCTATTTTTGCCGAACTATTCGGGTATCTTGGTGTGAAGTGCAGTTCAACGCCATAGAAACCAAAGCCAGGAAGACAGCCAGCGCCTGATGATGACTTTGTTTTGGAGCCGCAGTCAATGGCGCTGCATCAACCTGGCGCCCATTTTAGTGACCTTGGTTCTCTGTTGTACTACTCCCCTTTGCTTCAATTAGGATACCAGTTTTAATTGAGCGTAGCTTAGGTGACAGCTTTGTTATTCCAGTTTTTCCATGCACGCAATTAGCGTGTTGACTTCGAGGCTCTTTCTATGCTTCTTGTGGGCGACAAAACGTCTGATATACAGTAGTATTCTACCATATCGAATCAATTTCCGCCCCGGATGGAAATGTTGAGAAAATCGAACAAATCGTTTCTCGATTTTTTTTTATACGCTCATAGTATTCTCGCACACTCAGGTGAAAGAAGAAGTGAAAGAAGACTCCTCGTCGTACTTGCGAGCTGTGAAAGACTCCCTGAATGTCCTTGAATCCGACGTCCGGAAAGCGGAGGTGGAATCCATGCACAACCTGACGAGTGCTCGAGTTAGTGACCTCATATCTGACGTGTCTGACGTAGAAAGACTATTTTCTGTGACGACCGAGAAGGCAAACGTGTCAGAGAATGAGTTGGTGACGTTGCGGAAACGTATCGACGCTTGTTCTAGCGCCATATCGCTGCTTGATCAGTTCGTGAGGTCTTCAAAAGCGTCTGTGATCGGGGACACGGACTAAAATGAGTGTGATCGATTCGTCTTGAAAAATGAGAAGTTTTTAAACTGTTCACGCTCTCATGTACTTGTATTTTCTTTTTCTGTACGAAAATTAGTTTTTGCTTCATTTTTTTTTTATCTCAACCTTGTGCGCATGTTAGACAGGGAAAGAGTTGGTAAAAATTTAGCTCACGTGCTGAGCAAACAAAGCATGCTGGCGAAGACGTACCTCCTGGCTTACAATATTGTCCAGGTCATTGGGTGAGTGACGGCGTAAGTTCATTCCGAGTCAGAAGTCGTTTGAAAGCCACGTATTCTCAATTTCAGCTGGTCTTATTTGGGATTACAAATTTCTCGACATTTTTGGAATGGAAGGAGAGTGGAAACGTTATGGAGCCAAGTGGAAACCACCGTCGTTGTTTTCCAGACTCTAGCCGTATTGGAAATCTTACACAGTTTGTTGCGACTTGTGCGATCTTCCGTTGCTGTAACAGTGATGCAGGTGGGTGATTTTTTGGAAAAGACTACTGTACTTCATCTGGATACATTGACTTGAAGAGTGTATGCGAAGTGGTACAATATTTCAGTACTGTTCTGTGGTCATTGGAGAGATTCTTTGTTTAAAATCGATCGAAGCAATAGAAAAGGCCATTGTATGATTTCATTTGACTTTGGGTATTCGTGTGAGTTTGCTGGTGTTGATTCATTCACATTTATTGCAGGTGGCATCCCGGTTGTTCTTGGTTTGGTATGTATGTCTGGTGAGCGTCGACAGTCGTCGCAGTTACGGAGTGCCGTTGATGCTCACCGCCTGGACGTCTGTTGAAGTCATCCGGTATTCCTACTATGCGTTCGGGATTGTGGGAATGGAGCCGAAGTTGATTCAGTGGCTGCGGTACACTGCATTCATCGTTCTTTACCCGATGGGAGTCTCGGGAGAGATGATCTGCGCCAGCAATGCCTTGAAGTACTACGCCGAAGAGAGGCCTTTCAGTCTGGATATGCCAAATATTCTGAATGCCACGTTCGATTCCTATTATTTGCTAGTGTTCACCATGCTGACTTACGTACCCGGTGAGTGGGTGTCTGGAAGTTGGCATTGAAAGTTCGATGTTGTTTCCTTGTCTTCAACCCGTCTGATGACTTGGGGATTTTTTTTTTCAGGTTTCCCGAAAATGTACCTGCATATGTTCACTCAGCGAAGGAAAATTTTGGGACGAGAAAAAACGGAATGAATGAATCTATTCGTAAATTATATTTTTGTTTCACGAGACAAGTTGCAGTTGCTTGCGGTTCGGGTTTTTATGAACAATTGCAATATTTCACTTTGTTGTTCAAATTTATTTGGCAGAAAGAGAGGGAATAATTTATGGGAACGTGGCATTCTCTGAATTTGCTTTGATTTACATCTTGTTTGCTTTTTGGGAAAGCTGTTTCATGTATCTTTTTTTTTTCTTCATTTTTTAGAGAAGAGTGCTTTTCATTGTAATGGCACACCGAAAGGCAGATCCTAATTTGCTTGCAGCAGTGGATGAACTCGTAAAGACGTTTTATGACGGTTATGAAGAAGACGAAGACCAACGTCGTTTGTGCGTCGAACACGTTAAAGATGCGTTCGTTCGCGGTCGTCGGGCGTATACGACACTAGCCCTCACCAAGGAGCGTCTTGAAAATCTGACGGATAAGTTGCGTGTGGATAGTGCCGTGCGTAAAGCCGATGCCCTTGTTGCTGCTGCCAGTGACGTCCTCGCGACGGATTCTCCTCTGAAGGAAGAAAACCGCATGTCATGGAAGCTGCTCAGTGTGGTGTTGCAGTTGGCTTCGAGGCCCTGCGAATGTATCGACGAACAGGACGAAATCGTGCAGCAGCTGCTCTCCAGTTCTGGAAGCACACCAGCGACGGATCTGGCTTCGTTTCTACCCGCAGTCGATGCGGTGGAGTCTCCTTATCGATTTGAATTTGACGAAGCATCAACAGACGACCGTCTGAGTAGTGGATCGGAATTCGAATTCAGCGAATCTGAAGAAGAGGAAGCCCGTGTTCATCGTGAAGATTCAGCGTTGCGAGAATTTGGAGATTGTGTGGTGGAGGATTTGAGTTTGGAGAGATACTGGAGAAGTGAGCAGAAAATAATTTGCGACGAGTGGTGGATTTTGAGAGAGGCCCAGAGTTTGGCCCTCTCTTTGCATAACCAGCAGAAAGCGTTTCCGGTTCACAATGGCGTAATCCGTTTGTCAGTGAGTAATTTTGCCAATATTTCCCGCAGCAATATTCAAGAATCCGGTTTAAAGTTGCCATGGTTAGGTTTCGGTTGCCGTGCAGGATGTGCTGTGGAGTCTCCGAGATTCGGATTATGCGTCTACCCGAAGTTACTGCTTCTACCGGAATGATTCCTCAAATTTTGCCGTACGGAAGTACGTTACCGTCAATGAAATGTCTCCTGAAGCCTTCGCCAGCTTCATGTCTGGTCAGATTTTACCAACGTTGCAATCCGTGTCATACTTGAGGAATGGTGTCATCGGTGCGACGGATTTAACCTCGAAAACGTCTCCTTGTGCGAGGGCTCTGTGGTGCGAGTGTGGTCAAGTTCTGAAAAAGTTCGCAGAGCTGTTGGCGGCTGTGCAAATTCAGGGTTTGTGGTCATTGGGGAGACTTGAAGAAGAATTGAGCGATTGGCTCCAGAAGCTGTGCTTCCTTGACCACGTGCTACGGAGAAGTTTGAGGTCGAGTCAAGAAAACGAAGATGAAAAAGTAGGAAGAATTTGACTGACTTCATGGTAGAATCCTTAATCTTGATGCATTTTTTCCCTTTAATTTTTAGGTTGATTGGCCGCGATTTCAGCAGTTGATGGAAAGCTCTTTCGTACCTTGGCAAATTTGTCTTTGTCAAAAATTGATGATTTCTGGTTTGACTCCGATGGTGAATGCCTTGGACATTTGGTTCAGCACGGGGAATATACCCGAAGACTTCGGCAAAGAGTTCCCTGCGTTATTGGCCAAAGCCAAGGGCAGTGATCGTGGTTGGGAAATGCTGCCCGGGTTTCTGGTGGAGCTTGCGATGGACGTTGCTGCCATAGCCGATTTTGAAGCCCAACTTCCGTGTGATGGGAAATTACGGAAGCCGTGGACAGAGCTTGAAAAAGCGCGAGAAGTCGACGCGGATGTACACGCATTTCGAAGGTTGATTCAAGAAACTTTATGCAAACCTCTGAAAGCCTTGGCAGTGGAAAGCAAGCAGCGTTTGAGGCATCATCTTCACACCGAACTAGGGATAGTCGCAATTGTTCAGTCGCTTCCGGAGGTGCTTTTACTCCAAGCGGAAACCACGTGTGGTTGTTACTCGTCAGCACACGATGGTTCAGACGTGTACTTTGAACCACCCGAAGAGTGGCCGTCTCTGGCCAAGGTTCAAGTGGAGTCCTGGTTGAGTACGTTGTACACGGTTGGCAAGAGAATGAGGATTCTGCGAGAAGTCACGCTGCGTTTGAGTCATCTACGCTTCCGATTAATCAAAAGCGTGGGAAAGGCGGAGCGGGTTTTGTTGGTGCATCTCAAAATCGTGTGTTTTGGCTTTGTTTCCCGTCTGGCTGCGTTTCTTTGGCACGGTGTTGCCGGAGACAGTGTTTCTAGGATGAGTTCTGTCATACAGGAAGACGCTATATGTGCCGGAGAGAGGTTGATTGACAGGTTGAATGGATTGGATTTGTGGTCCGAAAAGAGATTCGGGAAAGAAGTTGATCTTTTGTTGAAAATTTCCCTGGCTGTGGTGGAAGCCTGGGACATTTTATTGCCAAGAAAGTCCGTTCTCCAGGACTGGCTGAAAAAGGCTCAGGCTGGAGTGATCAGGGGCTTGGTGGTTGTCAGAAATTTCCAGGGTAGGGCTGAAAAGTTGGATGCTGGGGCTCATTTCCAAAGTGCTTTCGGGGATTTGCACGAGTGGTCTGTTTGGAAAGTTTGAAAAACGCAGCCTGGGTTTAACCAATCTGTGATCGTGTGCCGTTTCGTAGAATGCGGGCATTTGTTTTCATCTCCTATAATTGATCCAATGTATTCCCATTCCTCTTGGTCTCAAAGAATATTTTGTATGGCGTGAAGCTTTATTCTTCTTTCGTGATCAAAGTTGACTTGAAAAGCAAAAAAAAAAAAAAACTTCCAAGTATTCTTGCTCACTGAGTGATGTTTGATTCGCTTTTAGCACGACCAACCAACATACTAAAGCCGGTTTTTTTTCTTTGCAGAGCATGTAGGAATAATTTTTTCGCTTAAAGAGAAGTTCGTGGAACTTTTGAATTCGGAACGATGACGTCCATCATCAAATTGCAATGTTTGTCTGGCGGGACCGACTCCGAATCCCCGCATTGCTACTTGCTTCAGATCGACGAATATCGCATTTTGCTTGACTGCGGCTGGGACGAAAAGTTCTCGTTTGAGGGAATCAAAGAATTACGCAAGTAAGCCTTATGGTTTCACCTTTTCTTTCATTTTATGAAGAAGCTAATGAAATTGTACCTCGTCTCCTGAATTGACCATCGTTGAGATTAATTCAACATCGAGCAGTTTTGTTCTGAATACAGTATGAGAATGTGATCAGTATACAGTATTTGTTCACGTCTGTTGAAGGCATGTGAACGAGATCGACGCGGTGTTGTTGTCGTACCCGGACATGTTGCATTTAGGCGCCTTGCCGTATGCAGTTGGTAGACTGGGGCTCAATTGTCCCGTATACGCCACTATACCAGTATATAAAATGGGACAGATGTTTCTCTACGACGTTTACCAGGTTAGTCTTTAATGCAAGCATTGATGAATCGCTTACAAGCACTGTACCATACTGGATTTAATGCAACGTCTTGGTATCCCAGTCTCACCACAACCAGGAGGATTTTAATCTGTTCTCCCTGGACGACGTGGACGCGGCTTTTGACAAATTCGTGCAGCTCAAATACAACCAGACTGTGCAACTGAAGGGTAAAGGCACTGGGCTGACGGCGACGCCGTTTCCCGCGGGTCACATGCTGGGCGGCACTGTATGGCGCATAACGTTGGACGACGAAGAAGACATTGTGTACGCCGTCGACTACAACCACAAGAAGGAGCGGCACCTCAACGGATGCAGCATTTTGGACGTGACGCACAAGCGCCGTCCGTCCCTGCTCATCACCGACGGACTTAATCTCACGTACCAGCAAGCCAGACGTCGTGTGAGGGATGAACAGTTGATGAGTGAGTTGAAATTTTGAGCAGTTCTTGCGTGGACGATAATTTTTTTTTTTCTTTTTCTAGCGACGATCTTGACTGTGCTACGTGGCGGCGGGAATGTGTTGTTGGCGATCGACACTGCCGGTCGAGTTTTGGAGCTTACGCACATGATGGACCAGTTGTGGCGGCAACAAGACGCCGGCTTGCTGGCCTATTCGTTGGCCCTGCTTAACAACGTGGCTTTCAATGTGGTCGAGTTTGCCAAGTCGCAGATTGAGTGGATGAGCGAAAAATTGATGAAGAGTCTGAGCGAAGGCAGTCGCGTGAACCCGTTCCAGTTTAAGTACGTGCAGATCTGTCACTCCATTCAGGAGTTGAACCGCATCCCGGACCCGAAGGTTGTGCTGGCGAGTTTGCCGGACTTGGAGTGTGGATTCTCGCGGGACTTGTTTCACAATTGGGTGCAGGATCGGAAAAATGCCATTATTCTTACGTCCAAGTAAGTCGATTGAAAACGAGTTTGGTTTATGTAGTTATGCGGAATTGATTGTGCTGGATCATTCTGCGAGCAGAACTTCGCCGGGGACCCTTGCCAGGCACTTGATCGACAACCCGAACTTGAAAGAGCTGGAGTTGGAGGTTCGAAAACGGATTCGCCTCGAAGGACGTGAATTGGAGGATCATAAGTTCCGACTGAAGGAAACGAAGAAGCCGCTGCGAAGAATAAAATCTGAAAAGTGAGTTGGTTTTTTTGTCCGTCATCCGTCGACGTGTTTTTTGTTTTTTTCTTGTTGGAACGGCATCAAAGCGCGCGCGAGTTTCTTTTCGTCAGTTTCTGCTCACGTGTACCGTTGACAGACTGGGAAAACTGGGGGGAGCAGTGGAAAGCAGCGACTCAGAGTCGGACGACGAAGTTCTCGTTGGCGACCATTTGGGAACGGCGGTGAAGGACGGCGCTATTCGACACGACCTGATTGTGTTGAGGAATCCCAACTCGGACAAGCCGACGTCCTACGCCATCCCGATTCCTGATTCCAAGTCTGCCGTCGGGCTCGTCTTGAAAGGTAATTCTGCGTCGGAAGATTCCCAAGTTTCTTGTTCGAAGACTTATTCAGTATCATCTTCTTCAAAATCAAAGGCGGTGCATCTGGAAGCAAAGCCATCAAAGGTAGCGGAGCAGGAACATCAGCAGCTGCGTTTCAGACTTTCGCTCCCAAGTCGCATAGACATCCCATGTTCCCGCATTCCGAGGAGCGAATTAAAAGTGATGATTACGGCCAAGTTATCCGGTATGTTTGGAATCTTGAACAACTTCATCTTCGGTGCTGTTCCAACAACAATTTGCCGTCTTAGTATCGCTAGAAAGGAAGGTTTCATGCATTTGAAAATTAGTAACTTTTTCTTTGTTGTGTGCTCGACATGAGGAAAGCCCGTAAATGGCTTTAATTTTTAAAACCATGCATAAGATGATATATTTTATTTTTTTTAGCCCGGAAGAATTCGCCATGTTGGAGCGTGGAGGATTGGACGGGACAGAGGACAACAAGGAGAACTACCTGCTTGGGTTGGACGAAGAAGCCGTCGTGGAAGTGGAACAGCCGAGCAAGTGTACGAGGGAATTGCAGACCGTCACCGTGAACGCCGGTATTCATTTTATTGACTTCGACGGCCGTTCTGACGGCGATTTCCTCAAGCGGGTCGTGACTCAGCTGAAACCAACGCACTTGGTGGTGGTGAGAAGTGGAGCAGAGTCTCAAGCCGCGTGTAAAGCGCTCACTGAGTTGGCCATCAAATCGGGGGTTCAGCGATGCCACTTGATGAGTAATAGGTGAGCCTATTCATTTTCTGTTCTCAATGAAGTTTTCATAATGACTTTGGCTTCCTCTTTTTCAATTTTCAGGCAAGTTATAGAGGCGTCCGTTGAATCGCACATCTTCAGTGTGCTTATGGACGAAGCCTTGTTAGCCAACCTGGATTTTGTTGCACTGAATACCAGCAACCGAAGCGGTGATGATCAGGCTACTGAACAGTTGGCCTGGATTGAGGCAGTCATAAGGAAAAGGAAGCGAGTACGCGAAGAGCCGTCAATTGCTGGCAAAGGTAATCGTTCACTGCCGAGAAAACACGTTTTTTATGTACTGTATCGTACCATGGAAACTCTTCGCAAATGTTTTGTACAGGCGAAACAGCGGCAGCGGAAGGAAACGAGGATGAAGACGATGATGGATTGGCGAAAAATTCAAAGAAGAAGTTGAAGGCGAAAAAAATCGGCAAGAAGGCTGATGAAGACGACGATATTTTGGAAGATGATGAAGAGGATGATGATGTAAGAGAAGTTGCCGATGGGGATGAAGATGAGGACGATGGATTCGATGTTGCGGAAGAAGGAGGCGATGGTGAGTTCAACCCATCTTGTTGGCGAAAATCACGTAATGATCAATCGTATTACCGTATTAAATTTTTTAGATGATGATCCAGTGATTGCCAAAGATGAGTACGTGGATGTTCTGGAACCATTGCCAGAGAACGAGAAGGTACCGTATTTTGATGTCGATTTTTGTCTTTTGGTTGATGATTAATCTCAAAATTTTTTTTCCAGCCTGGATTTCATAGTGCGCTGTTTATCAACGATTTGAAGCTTTCAGATTTCAGAGAAACTTTGAATAGAAAAGGAATTTCTGCGGAGATCTCTTCCGGTATTCTATGGTGTTGCAATGACACAATTGCTTTGAGGAGGGTAAGTTATTATCGTCCTCGAATAATTTTTCCGATCAACTTTTTCTCATACATATATTTCTTCTATTTTTTACAGCCGGTCGCAGGAGGCCAAATCGCTTTGGAAGGCGTCTTGTCGGAAAGTTATTTCCTGATCCGAGACTTGTTGTACGAACAATACGCAATTCTTTGATTGCTCTAGTGTCTTTCCAAGGAGTGTTTGTTTGGTTGAAACTTCGTTTCAGTTTTTGTGTACCGTTGAGCTTCCCGAATGCCGATTCTGGGAGCATGAAATAATTTTGAGTTTTTATGCTGATGGCTGGTGGATTTTAATTTTTGTTGAAAAGAAAGTGTTTCTTTTCGATGTTCAACGCTGTTTGATTCAGTTATCGCATGATTGATGGTCCTCTGTTTTTTTTTTTTTCTTTTCTTTTTTTCCAAAGGGGGTGTGCTGTTCACGGTGAAATGCCGAAAACGAAAAAATACAGTATTCTTCTCCCAACCTACAATGAGCGCGAAAACTTGCCCATCATTGTGTGGCTTTTAGTGCAAACTTTGGAAACTGCTGGAATAAATTTTGAAATAATCATTATTGATGACGCGAGTCCAGATGGCACTCAAGAAGTAGCCCGAAACCTGGCAGAAATTTACGGTGTGGAGCGTATCCTTTTGCGTCCGAGGCCTGGGAAACTTGGTTTGGGCACCGCTTATGTGCACGGATTGAAGCATTGCTCTGGGGATTACGTGATTATCATGGATGCGGACTTGAGTCATCATCCGAAATTCATTCCGCGCTTCATCGAAGCTCAAATGAAAGGAGACTTTGATATCGTTACTGGAACAAGGTCAGAGGGCGAGTTGGAAGTATAATTTCTGCTGTACTCCACATGAATTTAACATGGAATATGCTTACACATTTTAATATTTATTTCATGTGTATTGCGAAGGTATGAAGGAAATGGAGGCGTTTCTGGTTGGGACATGAAGCGGAAAATTGTCAGCTCTGGAGCCAACGTTCTTACTCAGGTATTTCGAGTCTTGTACTGTACAAGGTTAATGAATATTCTATGTCAGGTGAAATACTTCTGCGTTGCTTTTTTTTTTTAATCCAGAAGAGAAGCTTTTCTTGCATCGTCACAGCGGTTGAAAACGTCCATGGTTCTCTCGAGTAAATTAAATAAATCTGACAACTTCTGAATCGATCGATCAAAAAATAATCCTGAAAACTTGAGCTCTGTATGGTAAGTTTGACGATCTGTAAAATCTTTTGGGGATAAATATAAAGGTTTGAAGCAAGTTTAATCTCCACCTGCAGCCCGTAAAAATAGCTGTGAACAAGTATTTGTCCGCTGTGTTGCTCTTTTTCAATCGATGGGTGACGGAATATTTTCTATTTTGGTACACAGGTCCTTCTGCAGCCTGGTGTGTCAGACATCACAGGCAGTTTCAGGCTCTTCAAGAAGCCGGTTCTCGAAAACCTGATGGCCGCCGCCACGAGCAAGGGCTACGTTTTCCAAATGGAGGTTATTGTGAGAGCGAGGGCGGCAGGCTACCGAATTTCCGCAGTTCCGATCACCTTCGTTGATCGACTTTACGGAGAATCAAAACTCGGAGCCACGGAAATCATTCAGTTTGCCAAAGGGTTGCTCAGTTTATTCGCCACAGTGCCGTGTCCCAGCGACACTTTCGGGGCCAATGTCGGGTTCATTGCGGTGCTGCTCGTGTTTGGTGTTGCCTTTTCCGCATTCGTGTTGGGTTGATCTGTTCACTTTGTGTCGCATTCCCCGAAGTACTTTTCAAGTTGAACTGCAAAATTTGGTCGTTGGCTTGAAATGGTCCCGATGTTTGAAACATTTCAATTGTTTGTCTCTTGCAGAATCCCAAGTGCCATCTTTTTCCTGTGTTCGTGTGATAAGGTTAAAATGACAACGAATGATGCCGCATATCTCGCCAAGTTGGAAGCTGTAAAAGAAATCAGGTGCGGTTTTTTTTTTAAATCTTGTTCTTATCGATTAAAAAAAAAATCCTTGTGTTACTTCGAAAGAATGAAGAGCAGGACGTTGTTCGAGCTGAGAGCAAAGCTGATCTCAGAGCTGGAAAAAGTGGATGCTGAGGAAAGAGCCATGGCGGACTTCCGTCAGGAAATGGAGCTGTTGTTGCAAGAAAAGATGGCGCACGTGGAGGAATTGCGGCAAATACACGCGGACATTAACTCTGTGAGTTTCACGGGAATGCTTAAAATGAATGAAGTTGTTTTGAGTTTTTTTTTTTTTCAGCTGGAAACAATTATGAAGCAAGCCGATGCTGCCAAGGATGGTGCGCTAAAGTCGGCGTGTCGATTGATGGAGGATTACAGGCCATTGAAGCACGAAGTGGATCGCTACAGACAAGAGTTGTTGGGGTTGAGGAAGCTTCCTGATTTGCACGAGATGGAGTCTCAGGTCTCCCTCGAGTACGTTCAAATGATTTTTCAGAACTGTTTCTTTTCAGTTCGTTGACGTCGATTGAAAATTTGAGGAATGAAAGTTTCATTTCTGTTGTTAGTTCATTTTCTGATGTCCGTTTTTTTTTTCATAAGATGAGAGGGCTGAAGGAGTAAATTTTCCGGCCAGTTTTTCAAAATGTGTATAATTAATTTACGTTCTTTCGCTCTTCAGCGAATAATTATCAATTTTTTACAGATTCCTCAACCTTCCTGATCAAAGATTTAAGCATTTAATTTTCTTAATTTAAATCGCCACTTCTGAAAATATGCCAATTGGATATTCAGTAATTTACTTCACTGCACGCGTGACATTTTTTCGTCCCTTATTCTGACCGAAAAAATCGTCTGAAAGTTCGCGTGTAAGGAGCAGTTGAGAGGATGTTGATATTTTACACTGATTTTTAATTTTTCTATTTATATCCATGCTGGAAAAATCGATTTTTATGAGAACCTTTTCGTGTCGGCCTTGATTCGTTGGTATTTGCTTGAACCTCTTTCATCATGTGTTGATTTGGCCATTTTCAGGAGCCTCGAGAAGCTGGTGAGCATGGAGATGAGCCGAGCAAACTCTGCCAATTTCGATTCTGCGGGATCGCGAAGTGCGAGTGTGGCACCATCTGGAGGTGGGGGCAGTGGCCCGCATGGCTTCCCCGGCTTCATGATGCACCCGGGACTGTTCGCAGCCACGCATCACCCGCCGCCGCAGCATCACCATCAACAACATCCTGCTGCTCATCATCATCATCACCATCAATTGCAACTTCAGCAGCAACAGCAGGATGCCGGCGGTGGAGGTGGCGGCGGCGGCGGCAGTGTGCCAGCTGCATCTTCTTCATTGGCCCGCCAGAAGGCCATGACTGAGCCGGCCGTGATGCCGGCGCCTCAAAGCACGGCTCCGTCTGCTTCTTTCAGGTACCGTGTCCATTCGGAATGTGAGACCTCATCGACGATAACCTAACTTTTTATGTAGATTTTTTCTTCTTCAGCCATTCAAAGGATTTTGCCTGTGAATTTGAGACTTTCTTCCGTATGATCTAATTCCAGAATCAGAGAAGTGTGTGGACTCATTCGTGCTTCTGATATCAGCTTCTTCTCCTCGAACAATTCGAATAGACTATTGCCATCGAGCTTTAAATTCTAGAAAGTACTTATAAATTAAATTTTGAACCTTTTTATTCGATTGGTTTGAAGTAATCGTCATACTTGCCTTAAAGTTGATGCCCTTTGAAGATTTCTCAAGTTTTTCAGTGTGAAACGCTTCCTAATTTTCGACAGACATGCTTGTGAAGAAAAACAAATTGCAGGTTGTATCGGAGTAAATTCATTGATTGTATTGGAGTAGATTCATTGAAAAATCGCGGGCATGATTGAAGAAATGAGAATCAATATTTATGATCGAGCGTCTTTCCGCATTGATTTGCAGGCAACAGCCACCGCCGATGAAGGCGTGTTTATCGTGCCATCAGCAAATTCATCGCAATGCGCCAATCTGTCCGTTGTGCAAGGCGAAATCTCGGTCTAGAAATCCAAAGAAACCGAAACGGAAGGATCCTCCAGGGTTGTGAGCGCGTTTTCCGCGAAATCTTCCGCCATATTTCATTATTTTTCGTTTTATGAAAAGATCTGACGACGAGAAGGATTCCATTTTCTTTCTCTTCGCCATTCAGCCTGTTGACCTGCTTGATCTGAAAATGCTACCAAATATTTCAGCTTTGTAAGTCGGATTGTTGACTAGTTTTGTTTCTCGAGTACAAAGATTTTGTAAAAATGTATCTGAGGCATCATTTTGATCAGTATTTATTGAGCAAATTGAACTCGCCAACTGTGCTGTTGTTTTGTGAATTGTCAGTATTTATTCGGTCGAAGACGCGCTAAAAACAACACAAACACCCAGCATTTGTCCGTAATGTTAAGCAAGTGCTACTTTTAACGCAGCAGTATTCCAAGCTTTTTTTGTTTCTTTGTTGTTAGCGCAGGATTGCCCTTTTTGTTTTTAAAGATGGAAAGTACAAAGTGAACAATATGTTGGTCTGAACGGTGTTGCACGAAAAGGAGGAAGAGAGAGAGAGAGATAAGAAAATACAACAAGGAAGAAAATGAGACGTCTTTGGTTCCGATCGATGATTTTTTCCCCGCGGTATGAACTTCGCGATTTTTTATTATTAATTCGTTTACCTGGCAGGTATAGATTTTGTAGTGAGATGTGAGTATATTTTTGTTTGCGATGAAGCGCCGGAAGTATGTGGAGGGAATCTTGCAGCAGATTCGCGGGTTCTGCAATCCCCGCGTGGAGCTGGAGCAGTACGTGACTCCGTCGGAAATCGCAGCATCCATGCTGGCCACGATTGACGAGCAGTTCGACGATATCGCAGGGCGACGAGTGGCGGATCTGGGCACTGGAACCGGCGTCCTCGCCATGGGCTGCACCGCCCTGGACGCCGACTACGTCATCGGGGTGGACGTGGACGCGGACGCCCTACGCGTCGCCCGAGAAAACGTTCAAGACTTCGACTTCGGCGTAGATTTCCTGCTGGCGGACGTGACGAAGCTCTCTGCTATTATGAAGCAGAGATTCGACACTGTCGTCATGAATCCTCCGTTCGGCACGAAGAATAACATCGGTGCCGATGTGAGGTTCCTGGAGGCGGCGTTGAGTGTCGGAGAGGTGGTTTATTCGTTGCACAAGACGTCGACGAGGAACTTTGTTCGCAAGGTGTGCGAGCAGCGAGGCGCGAGCGTGGAATTCCTGGCTGAGCTGCGTTACGATTTGCCCAAGACTTATAAGTTCCATCGGCGAAACAGTGTGGATATTCAAGTGGATTTCATTCGGGTCGAGAACCGAAGTTTCCCGCCAGTCAATTGAACGTTCCTTATTCGTGGTTTGGATCTCTGTATCTGGAATAACTCGCATTCTGTAACGCTTGATTGATTGATTGATTAAAGGTGATGTTGACTCGGTCGCGTTCTAAACGCTTTCTGGAATGTTTGAATCTGAGGGATGGTTTGAAATTTTGGTCAGTTTTTAAACCATCCCAGTTTTATAACATCTCAGCAACAAGCTCCAGTTGTCCTGGAAATAATATGCAGTGAACTCGCGTATTACGGTATAATGAAAAGCTTCGTGTTTGTCCATTCAACAGAGAAAAGAATGTTCTCGCTGTTGTACGGGTTCTACAAGTGGGTCCTGCAGAAAGACGAGTATTTCGTTGTGATTCTTGGTTTGGACAACGCGGGGAAGACCACTTATTTGGAGCAACTGAAGACCAAGTTCACCAAGGGCTACAAAGCGCTTGCAGCGAGTAAAATAACGACCACCGTCGGACTGAACATTGGCAAAATTGACTTTGCTGGCGTGCGGATAAATTTCTGGGACTTGGGTGGACAAGAGGAGCTGCAGAGCTTGTGGGACAAGTATTACGCGGAATGCCATGCTGTGATTTACGTGATTGACGCCTCTGACAGGTGAGGGCTCGAGCACTCGTTGTGATAACTTTGTCGTAATGCGTGAAATCTAGTTTTTGCCGAGCACGAGCTCTTGCTTGCCTTACTTTTAAACTCCTCCCCTGGAAAATCGTTGCAGGTCTCGATTGGAAGAGTCGAAAGTGGTGTTTGACCAGATGATTTCCAGCGAGCACTTGTCCAACGTGCCGCTGCTGATCCTGGCCAACAAGCAGGACATCCCCGACAGTATGGGAGTGCGGGAAGTGAAACCCGTGTTTGTGAGTGCCGCGGAACGGATCGGGAACCGAGACTGTCTCGTGATGCCCGTGTGTGCACTCAATGGCGAAGGGGTGGACGAAGGCGCCAAGTGGCTCGTGGAATGCATCAAGCGCAACTCCAACAACCGGCCGCCGAGAGAGCGAGAAGACTGACTGACTGCGGTCGAACAAATTTTTTGTTTGTCTCCGTGTTGAGGGTTGCTTCGAGAGTTTCCTGTGCTTATTTTTATTTTTTTGGCGCGTTGTTTCATTCCGAAATGATGGAAAGTTTGGCGTGTGAAGGGAAGCAATTCGTGCTGGAGCCACGCATGCCTGACCAAGGCAGCTTTTGAAGTGGAAAGAAACCCCTGAGATGGTGATTGATTGCACGGTGATGCGCGTGATCTCAGCACATGAAAAATATTACTGTTTATTTTGTTCTGCTTTTTCCTCCGTGGAATGCTTGTTTGTTGGAAATGAAGAAGGAATTGCAACAGTTTTTCTATAAATATTATATGGCACGGCTTGTGACTGGAACGGGGTTCACTTCTTTTGCATCTTCTTCTTTGTAGTGTACGGTGAAAAGACGGAAAGACCAGGATGGTTTTTTGTTTTGTTTTTTGCAACACGGTGCGTGTGTATTTATGCTCGCCTTTCAGGCTGTAGCACCTCGAGATGGCACCAAAAAAATCGTGAAAACAAACCGTAAACCGTCTTCGCGCTTGTTTCGAACGGGGCAGCGAGGCGACAAACACTTTCCCCGAATGTGTCGCGCGGAATGATGATGAGGAGGATCATGATTGTTTCCTGTTCGGCGGATTGTACAGTACTCGACTTCCGCGGCGCCGAATCGATCTATTTCCTCCTCCTCCTTTTCTAAATGCGGTCGTTTGGCGTCGAGTAAGGCTGACGTAAAGAGAGCATTATCTCGCGACGATGAGGGGGATCAGTAGTAGGTCTCCAATTCGACCCAGCCGCCGGGCTTCCTGCGGATGATGTAACGTCGCAATTCGTCGTACACGAAGATGATGAGCGAGAACGGCATGGCTGGGATCCACCAGTTGATCCTGGGGGTTGTGATTAAAAGAACCGAGCGAGACGGGTGAGTTATTTGTGGTTGTTTTTTTTTTTCAATCTTATTGACAGCAGTGCAGTATAGTACGGTACTGTACTTGCTGTTGGAATTGGGCGGGTGTATACTCACTTGAGTGGGTACATGCGGAGCCCCTTGTCCATGCCTGGCGAGTAAGACAGCAGTGCTGCGAGCCCGGTTTCGAAGCACAAGCCGAAGTTGAGGACCCAGTTCCTATCAAGATTGAAGAAAGACAATATTACACGCTTTTCCAACATCTGTTTTGTCATTCTCGGTCTGGGTATCATATTATAAAAAAAATACAAAGGGGGGGGGGGGGGGGGTCAAAAAAAATTATTTTTTTTTTGAAAAAATACAAAGGGGGGGGGGGGGCGTTCAAAAAAATTTATTTATTTCATGTCAGTAGGGATTTGATCAGGTGATTATTCTTGCTCGCGGTGGGGAAATGATAACTGTCTCTCAGCATCGTATATTTTAGGGGAGGATATCCCTGTGTTTCATGGCGGTTGAAAAGACTTCTGCAATGAATATTATGTTTCGCACTGCGGTATTTGATCATTAACCCACAATTATTATGGACTTTTGCACTGCTGTTAATTTTTGGTCTGCATTGTGCGAGTGGTGGCAAATTACGCGTCGTTGGCTTGGTATTTTATGATGTAGGAATTTTTGCGTGCCGAACGTTTGCTTTGGAGAAATGCGTTATCTCTTCGAATTGTTGCTTCGATTGTGGTTCTATATTGCGAAGGAGAAGGAAAAAGTGGGATGGGAGTAGGGCCTATTTATGGAAGTGAAAAAAGAGAGAGAAAGTAATAGTCGACTTACGTCATTCCCTGGTGGACGAGGGAATTACGCCGAGTTTTGCAAATGATCAAGTCGGCCCACTGCACAATGACGATGGACACGAAGAAGGCCGTGTGGCAGGTAAACTCGAGCACCTTGCGATTGTGGTACGTCCACTCTTGGCCGTACGAGTCCTTGACGTCGTTGACGGCCTTGGAGTCCCACTGTTTGCGCAGGCCAAGAAGCGTCATGGGCCTAAAGCCATTCTCCGCCATGATGACGAAGTAGACGAAGAACCCGGCTGCTGCTTGGATCATGCCGATCTGCCCGTAGGCCATCGAGATCAACCTGAGAATGCCGAGAAAGAGACGAACAAATATTGTGCAAAATCTTGTGAAATGGAAAAATACGCGAAATTGCAACTTACCGCTCGTTAACGAGTTTGTCGGTGAAGGGATTCCTGGGCTGGCGCTTCATGATGTCGGCCTCTGCCTCTTCGTAGGCCAACGAGATGGCCGGGACCATGTCCGTCCCCAGATCGATGCAGAGAATGGTGACGGTGCCCAGGGGCAGCGGGACGTCGGCCAGGATGAAAAGCAGGAACGGCGAGATCTCGGGGATGTTGGACGTGAGCGTGTAGGCGATGGACTTTTTCAAGTTGTCGAAAATGAGACGGCCTTCCTCCACGCCCGTCACGATGGACGCAAAGTTGTCGTCAAGCAGGATCATGTCTGCCGCCTGTTTGGACACGTCGGAGCCAGCAATGCCCATAGCGACGCCGATGTCGGCCCGCTTGAGGGCAGGCGAGTCGTTGACGCCGTCGCCGGTGACGGCCACGATGGCGCCGAGACGCTGGCAACCCTCGACGATGATGAGTTTCTGTTAACAACGTTTTGAAAAAGGATTAAATTCGGCCATAGAGGGATTTGATTCCGCGGAATGAGGGGATTGCGCGTGAAACTCACCTGTTGAGGAGACGTACGAGCAAACACGATTTCCGGGTGATTTCGGAGAAGATCGTCGAGCTCGTCTGAGTTCATGTCTCGAAGTTCCTGGCCGTGGACGACGCAGGCTTCGGGATCGCTGGGGTTCACTTGGTGCACTGGAATGTTGAGTCGCTCGGCAATGTCTTCCTTAGTTTCACTTCCTGTGAAGAAAAAAAAATTGAAACGCATTAAAAAAGGAAAAGAGAGAAAATGAAATGATTTCGTGACGACACTGAATGAGACCATCTTCATACTTATTACAATAAAAACAGATTTTTAGTGAGGAAAGGGAATCTTATTTTACAATGTTTGAAGGACTGAACTCATAGTGCTTCTCTGAATGATTTAATTGAATTTGTCAGGTTCGCCAAAAGCGCGTTTTCGTTTCAAATGAACCAAGTATCGGAATTAATTACGAAGGGGCCCGAATGACAAATGCTATTTTTTTTGTTGAGGATCTGCTTTAAAAGAACAGTGACAAATTGTCTCGCACGTGAAGCTACGACATCATTTTGTACCTGAAGAATTTATTCTTTTGTGAAATCATTCAAATTATTTAGGAGAAAAAGAGAAAGTTGAAAAATTCGTTTGAGAATCCCGCGAGAGATGGAGATAGTTAGAGAGAGAGAGAGTTCCGGAAATTCCCAGTTTTTGCTTCGGATTACCTTCGGAGATGATGCCGACAGATTTGGCGATGGCTTTGGCAGTGATGGGGTGATCCCCGGTGACCATGATGACCTTGATTCCGGCCGATCGGCACTTGGCCACTGCTTCCGGCACGTTGGGTCGTGGCGGGTCAATCATGGACATGAGGCCGACGAAGCGAAGGCCCTCCAGGGGGAAGTTGTTCTTCTCGGGGTCGAAGGGGTAGTTGAGGGGGTACTTGTCTGCGGGTAGCTTCAGGTCGCAGAATCCTGTTACGGGTGGAGACGAAAACACGAGTACAGTATAGGGATGATTCGACCACTTTTTTCAGTATCTATTGAAAGCTCCGCAGTTTAAACGGATGAACTCCCCCTCCCCCCCCTTCTCGTTTTCCGTTGTTTGATTTATCGATAAATGAAGCCCATAAACCAATTTTGAATTAGTTAAAAACAATATGATGTTGTCGTATCCCGGAAGCCGGTAAAAATCGAACTGCTGAGAGTTTCGCCAATTGAATGAATAATCGGTGGAAAGTCTGAAGGGGGGGGGGGAGGGGGAGGTTATCTCCAACCTTTAATTTATTTTGGTCTACCACAACGCGTAAAAAGAAGGAGAAGAAGGACTTGAGCTCTATACTGTAGTCGCGATCAGATTTTTTTTTTGTACACATCTAGAATCTAGACAGGGAATGAATGAATGAATGGAATTACCGAGAACGCGTTCTCCGAGACTACCGAGTTCCATGTAGGCCCTCTGGAAAGAATCCTTCATGCGTTCGTCCAGAGCCAGTTCTTTGCCGTTGACGAGGATCGTGCTGGACTTTTCGAGGATCCTTTCAGGTGCTCCTTTCATGACGAGGAGGTACGATTTGTCGCTCGGATCTTCTGTCTCGTGGATGCTCACCTGCATTTATTTTTATTTATTTATTTTGAAACATAAAGGAAATTTTACGTGTTTTGATAATTATGTTGTTTGTTATTGTTTTGTTTTTTTCCTTGCCTGGTATTTGTTGGTCGAGTTGAAGGGGATCTCGGTCACCTTCTTGTGGCGTTGGCGATATTTTGCCACGTCGCCCATTTCTGCTTCCACGCATTTCAGGAGAGCTGCTTCGGAAGCATCTCCTGCGACTTCTCTGCAAATTATTAAACGAGAAACTCAATTACAATTGAAAGTCTTGAGAAAAAGAAAACTGTGTGCCCGCTTTTCTGGGTCCCCTTTATTGTCCTGCCGAGAGGGGATTTCTGCACGAAGAATCAATCCCATTTCAGCAAAATATTTCAATCGCAGGCAGGTGGAATGTGGCGATTACATTTTGTCAAATCTTCTTGGGTTTACACTGTTGGAAATGAAAATTGCTTCTAATGTTGACGAACGCGGGGTGAGCGTGAAGAGGAATTGGAACCTGAAAAAGATCCGCATTCCGTTCATATATATATACAGTATATATATATATATATATATGCGTGCGTATACGCTGTGAATATTATTTTCGAGTCTTCGCTGTACGAGTGCTCTCCTGGTTCCCAGGTGTCTCTTTCACAATGGGCACATTTCCAACAGAATGTTTCTATTTGTTGGCACCTTTCGTTGAAAAAAAAAAATCTACGACCATAGTTGCCACCAATAATGTGTTCTCGTCTCTTGGAAACAGTCGTGAGACTTTCTCTTTTTATACCGTAACTGTACGGTTATTTTTAATACGGGCTATTTAGGGGGGGGGGGGTGGTGGTGGATTGGAAAACTGATGCATCATTTGTTTTTCTACGTTCCTCTCGTCGGTGGAATGGGATGACATTTTCTCGTGAACGCGCGATAAAATGTCTGACCAAGAAAAAGACGCGCGCGTGTTGTCCGAATAAGTACTGTATTCGAGAAAGAAGAGAGAAAGAAACCTTTGCAAAATGGGTTTGCCGTCCTGGTTGGCCTTGAACTCGGCTCGGTTGCAGAGAGCCGCCACTCGAGCCAAGCACCGCCAGCCCATGCTGTTCTTGTCGAAGTTTGAGCCGGAAGAGTCGCCGATGGTGTCGACGGGCACAATTTTGTCGTCGAACCAGGCGTGGGCCACGGTCATGCGGTTCTGGGTCAGGGTTCCGGTCTTGTCAGAGCAAATGGTGGACGTGGAACCCAGGGTCTCCACGGCCTCCAGGTTCTTCACCAGGCAGTTCTTGGACGCCATTCGTTTGGCTGTGAGTGTCAGACACACCTATGACCGAATTTCGGGAAGAAAAATAAAAAAATAAAAAAGATTGAATAATTTGAAATGTGGTACAGTAAAAGCTGCGTAGCGTGGAGGTACAATGCGTAATTTTAATTGATGAGGGAGGGAACTCACAGTGACTGTTGCCAAGAGACCCTCGGGCACGTTGGCCACGATGATGCCGATGAGGAAAATGACGGCGTCCAGCCAATGGTAGCCCAGGATGAAAGCGATGATGAAGAAAGTGACGCCGAGGAAGACGGCGACTCCGGTGATGATGTGGATGAAATGCTCGATTTCTTTGGCAATCGGCGTCTGTCCGGTTTCAAGGCCAGAGGCCAGACCCGCGATTCTGCCCATGACCGTGCCGTCGCCGATTTGCACCACGAGGCCCTTGCATGTCCCTGTATATATATATATATTTTTTTTCATTTATTTATTATTATTATTCAAAGAAGCAAGGCAAAACAGATTGTAAAAATATGTATATATGTTGCACAAAGAGAGAAAAAAAAAACAACGAGCATTTACATGCGCGTTGTCTTACTTTGGCACTCTTCAGTTCATCAAGGGCTTGATTCGAAGATCTGTGGAGACCCTGATATATGGAATCACGTTATTGTAGGAAAGATTATTCTTCAACTTGATCCTTTTTTTGAATACTAATTCAAGTTTTTCATCCATCCCTTTTGAATTGGTCGAGTACTGGGGGGTTTAAAGTGGCACTCTGTTTCGGCTCAGCAAAAAATAAAAAATAAAACGCAGCGCATGCCTCTCACTTGAATCTTCCGTCAATTACCAATTGATGGAAAGTGCATCAAATGTCCCAACAACAACAACAACAAACCACGCAAAAAATCGCGTCAAATGAAACGTTGAAAATTGTTGTCGGTGCGGTCCCTTTTTTTTTCTCCAAAATCAAAAATTCGAGATAACGAGATTTAGTTGGAATGAATGAGGATTGGAATGAGCTTGCCTTCGACGGCGTTGGTGGAGAAGAAGGCCAGGTTGCGGGTCTCGAGTGGGTTCTCGTGTGTGAAGTCGCAGGACCGGGACTGGGGCTCGGACTCGCCCGTCAGCGAGGAGTTGTCCACTTTGAAGGCCCGGGCCTCGATGACGCGGAGATCCGCGGGGATCCGATCCCCGAACTTGACATCCACGACATCGCCCACCACGAGTTCCTCTGCCCGCACTGTCAGCTTTTGCCCGTCGCGGTGCACCAGAGCATACTACAAATGCAATACAGTACATTTGAAAATGCTTGCATGGGAAAATATATTTAAACTCTTGGGGGAGGGGGGCGGGGGGCGAAGGAAAGACTAGAAGGGGTTCTGATGAAAGCTTGAGGGCGGCTCTTTATTTGCTGCAATATTTTTTTTTATATTTTTGACCTTTCACATGATCAGAATCATATTTTCTTATGATTTGACTGAAATCGGGTACATTTTCAAGAGCCGGCATATATCTCGCAGCAGCGATGCTCAAAGAACGTTCATCTCTTCCAAGTATATTTTATCACTGCACAGAATATGTCACATGGGTTCATTCTCTTCCAATTGACCTGAACTTTTGAAATTCATGTGACTTTTTCCAACAGTTGAACGAACTTTTAACATTTTGATCAATCAATGTCATGGGTTTGTGCGATTTTTTTTTTCTGACATTTTTCTGCAACTTTTTTGGCATCCTGAAAACGAATGAAAAATAAATTGTTTGCATTTTACAAATAAAAATGCGTTTGCACCCAGGGAATAAGATTGAAAACTGTCAGAAAGGATTTCTCGGAAGGAGGTTTTCTCTGGTTCACATTCCGGTCATGTGACTGTGAGCCATCTCTGGATTACGAACCAAACTAGAATTCGTATGAATAATCGAGTGGACACAAATTGTCGTTGTTATCTGTGTGTGTGTGTAGAAAAAAAGAAGGGGAGGAAGCTCGTTTGTTTGTTTGCTTGCTCACGCACCTGTGGGACCATGTTCTTGAATGAGTCCATGATTTTGGAGCTTTTTGCCTCTTGGTAGTAGGAGAAAATGCCGGTGACGATGACGACAGCAGCGAGCACGCATCCCAGGTACAACTAAACGGAATAGATCGAATAATGCTGTACAGGATGTATCTTTTTTCTTTTTGAAACCGGCTTGGTTCTGAGAGGTAATTATGATTATTATTATTATAGTAACATTTATTTTGCAGTTCAATGCCATGTGTGCAACATGCAGCAATGAGGCGTTGAAATTGTGTGTGTGTGTGTGTGTGTGTATGTGTGGGTGGGCAGAAAGTTCTGTCCCGAAATAACATTTTTCGTGTGCGGAGATTCCATCAATTTTCAACGCGGAGAGTAGAGGAAGAAATTTCTCATTATTTTCCGTCCTGTCTGATTCATTAGCAATCATCCATCTATCGGTCTATCAATGAATGAATGAATGAATGAATGAAGTGACTTAATTAATTAATTGAGATTTCGTATATGACGCATCATTATGACGACAAGTCCTCACGTTATCGTCTGGGGGCTCCTCGAAAGTGCTGGCCTGGATGGAATAGGCTACGAAGCACAAGATGGCGCCGATCCACAGCAGTAGAGCGAACCCACCAAACAGGTTCTTGCAAAACTTGACCCATTCCGGGGTCGTTGGCGGCGGGGTCAGAGCGTTGGGCCCGTCTCTCTCCAGACGCATCTTGGCCTCTTTGTCGCTGAGTCCCTGTTGTTGTGGGAGACACGCAACATAAAAATTAACTATAAATACTGTACTGTACAGTACTGTATATGCAATATATATATATATATATTTTTTATGATGGAGTTGACCTTGTCGGGGTCCACTTGGAAGCGACGATAGAGCTCTTCAATGGGCACTTTGTGCACATCGATCTCGAGCTCGCGTTTCAGCGCGTCCAGATCCTTGCCGGTCTTTTTCCCGGCTTTTTTGCGCTGCAAAGAATAAAATAAAACGAAAAATTAATATAAATTTGCCAAATGCATCTCTCATATATTACCGTGTTGTCTTTCAGCTCTTAATATCTCCCGAAGGTAATGGATTAGTCAATTATTATTATTTTTGCGTGGGAACTTACGTTTTGTGAGCCGAAAGATATGGCGTCAATTGACGGATCAACTCTGTTATTATAATGCGGGAAATGGCGGAAAAACTAATTTATTTTTCGTCCATCTCCAATTCTTCGTGTTAATGTTGTGAAGCAATTTATAATTTTTCATTTCGTACTCCTTGTCATCTTTCTTTTTGTAGTGTTTGTAAAAGGAGGTATGCAGTTTACGGTTTAACGATTTCGCAAGAGGGAAAAAAGAAAGAAGAAAGAATGACCCAGCGAGTATGAAGCAGCATTTTGAAAGTGGGAATCTGAAGAATTTTTATATCTTGTGTGTGTACATTTTCCTCGTTGGTATAAAGAAACGTTGCACATGATTGATTCGAAAACTGAAGCTTTAGCGCAATTGCTGAAAGAACTTGCCAATCCAGCGTAAAGTTCTTGACAAATATTTGCCGGATTTTAGCAGCTCAATTTCGAGAGCGAGAAAAAAGAGGGGGGGGGATGAAGTTGACTTGTAAAATGCTCACGTCTGCCATGTTGGCGGTGTTGCGGAGATCTGCACACTTGTATTCGAATCCTTCGCGCTGAACTCTTGAGACCTGAAGAAACCCGAATAAAGTCTTTAACCGATCGGCGATATATATATATATATATTTTTTTTTAATGCACGAAGGAATCGGGCGACTTGCGAGTCGACACTGAAGATACCGAGGACGCGGAGAAGAAGCGTTAGTAAATCGGACTCGAGCGTCGACACTGTCGACGCCGCGATTGACACACTTGCCGAGCCACTGCAGTTATTGCCTGAGAATAAGAGAGAGAGAGAGAGAGAGGGGGGGGCTGTCACTGTCTGTCTGTTCATTCTCGTCGGTGACACGACTCGCTTTCGTCTGTCCGACGTTCCCGAGTAAATTTGTGTTTGTCTGTCGCCGTCGAATCAAGTTTATATATATATATTTTTTTTTTTTTTTTTTACTTGTTGGGTTTCAATCTGTTCCGATGGTGGGTTGCCATGCGGGTTTCCTTTTTCGACTCGCTCTCTGCATTTACTTTTTTTTTGTTCTTCTGTGTTATTGGGTGTGTGTCTGTTGGTCTCTGTGCACTGACTGACTGACTGACTGTCTCTTCCGTTCCATCGTTTCGGGTCTGGAGAGTGTCGAGGTGCTGTTGTTGCAGAGGCATGCACATGCGCGTGCGAAGGTTCTCCGATGGGTCCTGGCTCAACTCGGTTCGTTTTTTTTTTTCTCAGAAACAGGCGGGGACAACTGAGCGCCTGTTACGAGAACTGGATTTGAAAATTGGGTCTCTCATCTCGCTCTTTTTTTTCTTTGCTTTTCCTTTTTTTTTTGTCGAGAGGAAGTTAAAGGAAATATACCGAAATAATGCGGAACTACAGAGGATGGGGACACTGTTGAGTGAAAAATGTACGTGAAATGCAGTACATGTTCTGAATTTCAAGTGGGAGCCCCAGCAGTAGACATTGATCCCATATATGTTTGACCAGTTCTTCTTGTTTTTCGAAACGTGGTGACTGGCCCCACAACAATGTTGAACGAGGGTTGTTTGCATTTCGTAGACCACTTCGTGTGATGATTTAATTTGCCTAAAGGGGCTTTCTTTTTTGCCGAGGAAGGGGTTGAGAAAACTTTTAAAAAATGCCTCTGCGGAATGAATTGCTGTCGTTAAGAAGAAAATCCACAGCAACAAAACGAGACGATGCTTGATTTCTTGAATGATGCCAATCGCCAAACTTGTTCTGTTTACAAAATAGGTGAGCATTTGCGTTGCATGCCCTTGCCAGACCACGGTGATTTGGCTGGTGCTCAGTTGTGCGGCGCAGAGTTGGGAATTGTCGTCGTAGTGTTCTTTCTCTCACTTGCCCAAGGCGGTGAGGCTGATGGTGCAAGACATTTTACAATGGGGGGAGTGCTGGCTGGTCTTGGTTGCGAAACAGAGCTGGAGCACCCGAGACGCCCCTGCTTTTTGCCTGCTTGCGTGTTTCCTTTCTGTGTACTCGATACGCTGTATTTTCTACTACACTTCACACTACAGTACAGTACAGTATTTAAAAAAATGACATTAAAATATCTTGGAAATGGTTCAAGAGGGGTCTTGCTTGAAATTCTCTGCACTTGTGTCCTTGTGCCCCCCGTGGGTATTCCACGAGACAAAACAACAACACAAAGCAGAATGCTTGGTAAAAACGGAACCAACTACAGTACGAAAAAAAAAAAGTTCTGTATACTGCATTATTTGAAATTTTGAAAGGGGGTAATATAATTGATACTTTGTTATTTGGGGATGATTCTGGGTTTACACAAATGGAGAAGGACATTTTTATCGAGAAAAAAAAAACCTGCTGAAGCCCCCCTCTGTTTAAACTCAACGACTTTTGTCAAGTTTTGCTTTTCTGAAGTATTTTTATTTTCCTGGACAATGCCATTTATTTATTTTAATTATTTTCTGTCCAGGGAAGTGGTATACAATGGAAGAATGCTAGGTGCTGAGAAAGGTGGGTGGGTCGGTTGTCTCGGGTTTAGTCTGTGTTTGTGTGTGTGTGTGTGTGTGTGTGTGTGGAGACTTTAAAAGAGGATGCGTTCGCAGTTGCGTCAGAACTCGGAGAACTTTTCCATTCCTCGTTGACTTTCTTTTTTCTCCTCCTTCCGAAACTGTTTTCTTTTTCCTTTCCTTTGCTAGTGCCCCTGGCACCGCGGGTCAGAAATGGAATGCAACCCAAGCTTGCCCTCGGCTGCCTGGATTATGTATTGAAAGTCGTCGGCCTCGTTTTCCCCTCCCTCCTACTCTGGACCCGATTTGGACAGTCTGTTTGCTGTATCAGTAGCTCTAATCAAGTGAACTGAGCAACGCTTACAACTACACATAGGATACCTATGAACCTCTCCAAGTCGTCGAATTTCAAGGGGACCAGCAGAAGAAAAAAAAAAAAAAAAAAAAAAGGAAAGAAAAAAAAGATAAATATCGCACAGATGCAGAAACAACCTGTCATACCCATTCATCAGCACGTTAAGGCCAAAAAAGAAAAAAAAGTTCGACTTGAGGGGGTTTTGAGTTTGGGGAAACGAGTATTTTTTTTTTGTCCAAAGGAAACGTAAAAGAATTGCGGGAAGTAATGAATGATGATATTCTGGGCCTTAACTTGCTTCTTGATGAGTTTACACAGCTCTTGATAGGCAGGGGTTTATTTGCTCCCTTAGTCTTTCAATTCCTTTCAATAAGATGCATCGAATCACTTGGTTCTATTGTCCTTTCTCTTTTATTTTTCAAGTAAGTAATTACCAAGAGGCCTCGGAAAATTCGACTTTTACCGAGGAAGGGAATTCAGACGGGGACTCTGCCAAATTGTTGACTTGAGGCGGTTCGACTGATCGAGTTTAAACTGTATTATTTAGTGTATGCTGCAGCAGGTGATTGCGACTGGTGCTGATGTTAATCTGCGCGTCCCATGTTCATCATTGGAACTGAAAGAAAGACAGACAGACTGACTGACTGACTGACTGACTGACTGACTGAGAGAAAGAGAAAGATGGGGGGAAAAAAGGAAGAGAGGCGAGATTTATTTTTTATTTTTTGTGTGCGTATGAATAGGGTAGGAAGTGGCGTCGGGGTGGGGTGGGTGTCGGCAATCAAGTGTGTGTGCGTGTCTTCCGGTGGAGCTTCACACTTCATACTCATACAGCAGAGCTGCTGACATTTACCAGATTCATTCGGAAACGGGGTCTTCATCGTTGTTTCTGGTTTATCTCTCTCTCTCTCTCTCACTTCATCACTCACTGTCGAGTGTTTGTTAAAGCGTGGCATATTTGCAATTATGGTTACGAACGAGTTTTTTTGAAAATGACGTAAGATGCACTCGTTTCATGTGCACACTTGACGATGGGAATTCCTTTACAAACAAGCATTAATTCAGTTGGAGCATTATTATTATTTTTTTAATCCTAGTTTTGTAAATTCGACTCATTTAAGATTATTGCTTCATGCGAGGATCTGGTTAGAGAGATTTTTCGGAATTAATGCGAGAAATTCCCTTTTTTGCTGGATGAAATCATTAAAAAAAAATACTTTCTTGGCAAAATACTGTACTGCATCTGTATATAGTCAGTCGACTTGAATTTATTAGCAGTGTGCATGGTTGGCTCCCGTTAGTACATCCTCGAACAAATCGAAGGCTGTCGCATTCGAAATTTGGCGAAGCAAATTTGAGCTCTTCTGTGTGCATCTGGGTCCAGATTTTCCGAATCTTGGGCGGGTCGAGCTCTTCTTTGGTAGCAACGGGAGTTTCTTCAATCGGAGCAGCAGCCGCAGCACACGTGATTGAAAATCTTTCTTGCGCGGTTGTCGACGTTATTCCTCGATTTATTTTCACTGTACTTCGTTGCAAACAGACAATCAGTTAATTCGTGGATTTGCGAGTGTGGGTTGGGGGGGGGGGGGAATAAATGTACAGTATTTCATTCTGGTACTTGAGAGAAAATTGAGTATATCACAGATCTTTTTTTTTTCTTTTTTGGCCTTAACGTGCTGATGAATGGGTATGACAGGTTGTTTCTGCATCTGTGCGATATTCACATGCAACCGCATCTCTCTCTCTCTCTCTCTCTCTCTCTCTCTTTTTCTCTTATCTCTCTCTCTCTCTCTCTCTCTCTCTCTCTCTGTCTCTTCTTTTTCCATTTTATTTCATTTCATTCAATGATTTTGTATCCCAACGATGAGTGACTCTCTATAACCCCAAGGTTGAAGAATATCATAGCGGACGAGGCGACACGAGTTGAATTATGCAGCGTGTATGCGATACACTCGCTGTTTTGTATACGATGGATTGTTATTTGCTTCCGTCGTTCCTGGCTGTGAAAGCGAGGATGAAGACGACGGTCGTGATATCCGTGCCTGCATGTCATCGGATGAAATTGAGCAAGAGCAAAGCACGACTTCCACTGGCTTTCCTTTCACGGCACTTGTACAGTTTACTGTACTGTATATAAATATTCTTTTATGGTCCGTTTTCATTTATTTTTATTTTTTGAAATCCACGCGTTTGGTACAGCAATGTATTGTACTGTACTTGGGTGGGCTGCTGTGTGTATAGTACGGCAACCCAGCACCAATTGATTTTATTTTGGAAGAAATTATGGCATTTTAATTTTTTTTTATTTTCGTCATTTATTGTCGAATGCTTTAATTCGCTAGAAGAGGTTTATCGTTGTAATTTTGATGTATAATAACGTACTTCTGTGTATAGACGCATATATACTGTATCTTTTTTTTTATTTCAACGCCCAATGAGGAAATGAATTGCAAACCTTTCAAGATTAGCGTGGATGAATGTTTTATTTAAAATTTTGGTCGGTGGACAGGGTTTTTTGTGTGTAATTCTTCCCGTCAATTTATTGATCATTCATTTTTAAAGTTTTGGCAACCGTGTTCAAATGAAAGTGGAAGTTTTCAGGTTGTAAAACGGAAGCGTTCTGCACAGAGCTGCGTTTGAAGGAAATCAACAAATGAGGCTCGCTTGAATGCATATTCATTCAAAAATTAGAGTACCGTATACATTATGCCGATGGATTCAGGGATTGAGCATCTGACAAACTTGATGTCAAGG